CCTAGTCTTCTGCCTTAGGAAGAGAAGAAATACCATTCCATCAAGCCTGGTCTCCAATCAAAATTCTCCAGGACACCCCTTCCTTCCTCACTGAGTTCAGTACCTAGCTCAAAATTTTCCTCTCCTCATCAATTTCTACTCTCATAGGAGATAGCAATATGGAGATAGATATATATTAATATGCCAGCCTAACCTCACAGTTCCTCAATTTATTCACTTGATTTTCCCATCACACACAAGTATACACTGAAATTCCTCTTTCTGATCCCAATCTATTATTCCACTTCTTCCCCCTGAAACCTAAAACCCTATTCTTTTATCCTCACTGTGACCTTCAACTTCTCAACACCTCAGTTCTTTCCCAGGTCATTACACTGACTACTGTCTCCTTTCCCCATCTTGACCCCTTGGGGAAACCAGTTCAACTATGCATTGTACTCTTCTCGGGTCCCTTGCCCTTTATGCTGTCATTGATCTGGCCCTGCCAAGCCTTAGCTTTAGATTTAAACCATCTGCTGTGTTTACTCCTACTCATATGCTACTGAACCAAACTAGAAAAATCACAAAACTGCTGATTTGGTCCATGAGTTTGTTACATAATCCAAAATGGGCCATCACTATGGCAAGGCAATCCATTTATACCTCTTTAATTAGCCCTACTCATCACAGCAGCTCTTCCAAACGTTTCCATCACTCTGGCTTCCAACTTCTTCATTGAACTAAAACTTCTCTCTCCAAAGTTGCCAATGCTAAATTTAACAGCCCTTTCTCAATCCTTCTCTTCCCAACAGCTCTTCAGCCTTTGACACTCAGTCACCCTTTTTTCCTGGATACTCTCTTCTCCAGATTTCCATGACACTACCCTATCCCAAGTTTCCTCCTCCCTCGCTATTTCTTACTCTACTTTGCTGGATCTTATCTTGGTCATGATCACTAATGATAAATGGCCCCTGGCTCTCTCCTGGGCCCTCACTTTATACAATTTCACTTGGTGATTTCATCACGTCCCATAGAACCAATTATCCCTATGCTTAACTTGTAGACTTGCATTTCCAACTGCCTGTTGGACATTTCTTTTCATCATCATCATTTTATTTTGTTGGTTTTTTAACATTATTTGTTCTTAGTTTTCAACATTCACTTCTAGATTTTGAGTTCTAAATTTTCTCCTCCCTTCCCAAAATGGTGTGCAATCTGTGCAATAGGCTACACATGTACAATCATATTAAACATATTTCCACATTTGTCATGTTGTAAAGAAGAATTAGAACCAAAGGGGAAAACATGAGAAAAAAGAAACAAAAACAAAAAGAGAAAATAGTATGTTCAATCTGTACTCATATTCCACAGTTCTGTAAGATGACAGAGATCACCTTACCCTCACTGCTAGCCTTCAGCTTGGCTCAAGCACATCACCCACTGCCTTCTATCCTTTTTTCTTCCCTCCTCCCATGTACTTTGTCATTCTGTAATGCAGTCCCACAAAACAAACAAAAAAACCACACCATTAATTCATTTGTAGGCAGTGTCAAGAGGTGTCCACGATGCCCCATGCCTGTCTGTCCACTATTACCTCCACCAGACTTCTGACCTTACCCATCTCCTTGTTTACATTTAGAAAGAAGTCTCTGTCCCTCTCTCCTGTCTGTTCCTTTTGCTATTGGCTGCTGCATGAGCCCATCTTTCTTCCATTTTTTGTTGTCTGGAGTGTTCAAGAAACAATCTCCTCAGGTATAGTTTTCTTTATTTTCTTTTTTTTTTTTAAAGGCAGTTGGGGTTAAGTGACTTGCCCAGGGTCACACAGCTAGTAAGTGTGAAGTGTTTGGTCTGAGGCCAGATTTGAACTCAGGTCCTCTTGACGTTAGGGCCAGCGCTGAGCCACCTAGCTGCCCCCCAGTAATCTAAGAGTGTTTTGAATGGAGCCTTTTTACTAATTGAATGTCAATTTTTCTTTTCCATTTATGATGAAGCTCAGATTTGCAGGGTAGACAGTGGGCTTCATCCCAAGCTCCTTTGCTCTTCAGAAGCATTCCATTACTTCATATTTGAAGGTCTTTCTCCTGGTTACTTGTAGTTTGTTATTTCTGAACTGAATCACAAAGTTAACAACATTGGATTTTTTAATTTATTTTGTGGAGCCGATCCATTCATTCTTTCAATTAGTATTTCATTTTATACTTTCAGAAGTTCTCAGCAGTTTTCCCTGTATTATTTTTTGCATTATGTTGTTCAGATTTTTTGACTTGTCATGTTCTGGGAGACTGATAACTCTTAGGTAGTACACATCCGGTCTTTGAGATCAATATTTTGCTCAAATAGGAAGCATCTTTTAATGTTATTGGGTTTTTGTTTGTTTGACCTCTGCTGACTGTCATCCTCTCTTTAGTATATTTGCAGTACCTATCAACTGTCTTCTCTTTGTTTCTTGTTGAGCTTGGCATTGAGTATTCAAGTTTTTCTATTGTACCAATTGTTTCTGCTGTGCAGGCCATAAATTCTGCTGTCATGACTCTCATTTCTCTTTTAAAACACTCAGGAACTGTGTGTTCCAAGTTCTTGAATTCTATAGGGTCCTCTATCTCATCAACTGTTAGTCATTTTTCTTTGCCTTGAAGCATTTACTCACAGATGCCTGAACTCATTTACTGGACCTGGAGGCCATATTTCCTTCTGTGGTTAATGTTTACACTGTTGATTTATCTGCTTATATTCAAGTTCTTTGTTTTCCTCCTCCTGAGATCTTTGGTCTCTCCATTTTACTTCCCCTCCTCCCAATTTTTCCTTATTGCTCACTTTCGGTGCCAGTCTGATAGTGGTTTCCTTCAGGGCTGGATCCCATAGCAATTCAGCCTTCTTCCCCAGTGGGCCATGGTTCACTAGCCTAGATCTCTGTCCCAAGTGACTTTTTTTTCTTTTTCTGGAGGAGAGGGGACATAAAACTGACCCTAACTGGATGATGAACTCTTTCCCAGAAGCTTAGTGTAGCACATGCCTCCCAACCCTGCCCCACTCCAGGCACAAGGTCCCATCCCACTACCATGCAAGTGCTTTAGCAACCTGAGATGGCCTGTGAAGCTCTAGTGGGGGAAATGGTCATGGTGTGGGGTTGTGCTCTATTTCAAGCCCAGATATGTGTCCTGCGCCTTTCCCTCTGTGCTAAAAAATAAAATGGTGCTGGCTATTGAGGATTTGGCAAATTTCTGCGGTTTGGAACTAGAATCTCTACAACGCTTAGAAAGAGGGAGAGGGAACTGGAATTGTTGCAGACCTGTGGGTTGGGTCAGCTAGTAAAGCCTTGCTTCTAGGAGTGTATTGGGCTGTGGGTAAAGGCTTGTTAACGGATCTCAATGTAGGCATTAGTTCATGGAGTTTACCTTCTTTTGGGTTCCTGGTGTCTTAGATGATGGAGACACTCAAGTTGCTTTATCTGTGGCACATAATTTCTGTTCTGGAGAAATTTATGAGGTCATGAGGATCAGAGAAAACACCCAGTATTCCATCTCAATGGTCACATGACCCCCCCCATATTAATTTTCTATTTTTGCTTCATAATGGCTTTTCATGACATTTCCATTGTTGTGCTCACTAAGCATGTAGTTTTCCTGGCTCTGCTTACTTCACTTTGTATCAGTTCATGTTTTATACTTTTTTGTTCTCACATGCATTGCTACTTACAGCACAGTAACATTCAGTTATATTGATGTGACAAAATTGAGTCATTCTGTCAGCAATGATAACTTCTTTGGTACCACAAAAACAGCAGCTATCAATATTTTGGCATATATGAGGCAGATGTTTAGTGATGGAACTTCCAGGTCAAAGGGTATGCCTGATTCCAATTGCTTTGTACTAATTCACAGCTCCACCATCAATGCATTAGTGTTCCCATCTTTCTGCCACCTCTCTGACATTAACTATTGCAATTTTTTGTCATCTTTGTCCACAGGTTGGGGGTGTGAGGTGAAAGTGGTTTTGATATGCATTTCTCTTATCAGTGATTTGAAGTGTTCTTCCACATAGTTGTTACATTGCTATACATTTTTTTTAAAGGCAATCGGGGTTAAGTGACTTGCCCAGGATCATACAGCTACTAAGTGTCAAATGTTTGGTCTGAGGCCGGATTTGAACTCAGGTCCTCCCAACTTCTGGGCTGGTACTCTATCCACTGTACTACCTAGCTGCCCCTGCTGTACATCTTTTTTAAATTTTTATTTTTAGTTCCTGGAATGTTGCTATGCATCTTTGACATTAAGCCCTAGACAAAATACGTCAGTGGAGTACTGTCAGTCCACACTTTAAATTAACTCCCATACACAAACAACTTCTCAGTTATAGCATATTTCAAAGACAAATATTTCATTTTAAGTTGCTTTGACACACAACCCTTTTGTTCTCCCCTCCCACCCACCCCGACAATTTCCACTGTTCAAACAAACATTTGAATGATATGCCACTCTGCACTGGTCCTAAAATAACACGTAATAGTCAACTTCTGGGATCATACCTGAAGTCAAATTTAGCTTGGCAAAACTAACTTACTTGCCTGAGAGCTGCAAGCTCTAAGGGTCCATTCAGTCTCCAAATCATGATGGACCACTGCAGCGGGACTTTGATGAAGAGATAATAAAACACTGTACATGAAAAATACTACACATTCCTTCAGCAAGAAATATAAAGAAATAACACTACATGGACCAAAATATAATATTTTTTCTAAATATTTTATTTTATAACAATCCTCTTGTAAAAAGAAAAGAATTTAAAAATAACAAGTAAATTCAAAAATTTTGAAAACTGCAATTATGAGCAAAAGATCTATGGCATGCCATCTTTGGAATTATCTCCCACAAACTTTTTCTTCCATAAAAGAAAAACTAACACGTCCTCACAGTTCTGGTATGTCTCTTTGCAGGACAATATATGGCAGCTAAATCATATGAACAGAAGTTCTAGAAGGCAGTCTCATCACTAAAGAAAATAAAGTACATTTATTTCTGTTAATCATTTTTTTTTTGCACAACTTCCCCTTGAAATCACTACATAAATACAAAGTCTACATACAAAATCAGTACTGCTGAACAGGTTGCTGACACTTTATTTGACAATAAAGATGAAATGAAAATTTATATTATTTCAAGAGAGACCAGTGATTCCCCATTCATCAAATGGAAATTTATTTATTTAAAAATAAACCTCTTCAGATTATAATACCAAGATTTGATTTATTGCTAAGGTTACCAAAAAAGGCGCAAAAACATATATGATGTAATGATAATAAATAAAAAGGCAAACTTGCTTCAAAATACCCAAAATATGATCACATTCAAAAATTCTAAAAAATAAAGATAAAAAAATATGGATAATAGGTACTTAATTTGAGGGGGATGTGCAGTAATTTTTTTTTTAATTAATACATCTTGATGGCCTGGACAATTGGCAAAGTTAATACTGCCTGTGTTAATCACTTAAAAGCTAACTTTTAAGCAAAATAAATTTCACTTCTTTAGGTCAGCCACCATCTTGGCCTCATAATAAAAGGCCTGGGTCTAATGAATGTGGCTTAATTATTAGTTGTTTGCAATCTTACTTCCTTGTATAGACATTTCTCAATATAATTAATTTCCTGTTGACAGCTCATGATGGGGTGAGAGTTCCCTATGGAGATCAAAGAGAATACAGAAACCACCAATATTGCAAGAATACATTTTTAGAAAAGTGATAGGCAGTGTCTGTCATTTAGTTATAAAGAACTAAAGATATTGCCAGTGTACAAAATTAATGGATAAATAAACCAAAGAGAAAGTACTCCCAACACTGAGCTATGTGTTTATGGCTTGGTGACCCAAAATACCTTGGTGAAGCTTTTGGAGATGAACCACTGAATCTCCCAGTCCCATTCCACCCACCTCACCCCTCCAAAAAACAAATTAAAACACACAGTTGGGATCGAGGAGGAACCCTCTACTTAAGGAGGTAGTACATTAAAGAGAAGGGGGGGGGAAATTACTTGCAGGAAAAAGGACTTCCACTGAGAAAGAGCCTTCTACCACAATCTAAATTACAGTATAATTATTTTCAGATGATTTTATTTCCCAATGAGAAAATTAATGATTTAAAAAAAAGGAAACACCCATTTTTGCAAGCTCTAAGTATTGCTAATCTGAAGTGGAAGTATGACAGATAATAAGGCAAGCTTTGCCAATGGGGCCGTGTAGTGTCTAGAACAAGGAACAGTGAGGAGGAGAAAGGGGAAAAAGTGAAAACACAACATTAAGCTTTATACTTATTCTCCTTAACCTAAGATTTCAACTCATCACATTTATCATCACCTAGAGCTACAGAAATATGGGACTTACGGGAGAGAAAGGTCCAAAACAAACAAACTCTAAATAAATAATATACTATTTTAAAATTAAGTTTGGTCAATAAAGGCTCAATAAATATGTCCACTGAGTGGGGAAAATTATCAGAAAGAAAAAGACAAACACAGAAACAAAAACAAACCCTTATCAGAAAAACCCTTCATTATAATAATCAGGCCAATTTCATTGGACCCACTTTTTCCCTGATACATAGCCTTAGCTGTCAAAGATATAACCTTTCTTCACTCTTTAGGGGTGGGGAAAAGAGAAATAATCTGATTCATTCTTTTAAAAGTTTATATTTAATCATAATACTAAACCCCTATTGGTGAACAGGAAATCTATATACAATTGCTAAATACCCTAGAGCAGTGATGTCAAACTCAGAGAAACATCCCTGCTGGTCACCTACTGACCCAGAAAATCACAAATGAAGATTATCTATGTTGAATTAAATTTTTCTTTATTTTTGGTAAACTTCTCAATTACATTTTAATCAAGTTCAAGCTGTGAGTTTGACATTTTTGCCCTAGAGGATCTGGATGAGTGATGTTAAGATAGCATTCCCATGTCTATGAGAAAAACTGATTACATATTGGAGATTCCAAAGATAGGTAAAATTAAAGTCCTTCTCCTAAAATCAGACATTTTCAGGTTGACTGTTAAGGGAAAAAGGCAAACAAACAAGCCAGTGATTGCTAAAAGGTATCTGAATGCTAATTACTCAGTTCCCTTTGCTGTGTGCCCTCTCTCCTGCCTACTTCTAATACACACACACACACACACACACACACACCACACACACACACACACACACACACACACACTCTCTCTCTCTCTCTCTCTCTCTCTCTCTCTCTCTCTCTCTCTCTCTCTCTCTCTTTCCACCTCAGATTATCATCTTCTCAGTAGAACTGGGTATATGCTTTATAAAGTGGGTTTTATTGTTAAATAAATCATTGTTAAAATATCAAACTCATTCACATTTTAAATTATCTCCAGAAGGGCAGAAGAATTGAAGGCTCCTTTTCTAAGTAAAATATTCCTCCTCTTCCTACAGAAAGGAAAACAAAAAATAAAGACATCCCAGCAAAACTATAGTACCAAAGGAAAGATTTTATACTGTTGTTTCTTTTTTCTCTTGGAAAACTCTTAAATAAGTCTATCTCACCGTCAAGTGTGTACTGCTTGCTTCTTACGTGTATGAGAATTTCACATAATTGAAAGGTTTACTTGTATAAACTAGTATTTTAATTGTCTGCTTAAGTATAAATTTTGCCTTCGGGATTTGAAGCATACAATGAAAAAAGTGCATCTGATTTTTAAAATATCCTTTAAATTCCTATATACAACTGTAACAGCAAAAGACTTTGTGAATATTAATTAACAGGACTCAGCAGCCACTACATTTTATATAATAACATAAAAAGGGATCCACAAGTAATTCTCTTATAGGTGCAGCGTGTGTTGCAATAAGAACCTGAATCGTACAATGCTCACAACTGCGTCCATAGAACTACGCGAATTGATCAACCTTCCAAAAAACCACTGAATTTTCAACATAAAACACCCCCCGCCCCCCAAAAAGTGCAAGGCCACTGAAGAAGAAAGCAGCTCTTTCACCACCTGTGAAGTAGTCTAAAATGGACTTTAGTTCACAAAAGCTCACACACCCTGACCCGATGTGCACAGATCGGAACCTGTTATGAAGAACAGAACTGAACGTCCTCAAGCTGTATTTTTCTTCTCTCCTTCCTGGATAGAGAGCAGATATGGCTAAACGGTCCGATTTGGCCAGCCAGATATGCTGCTGTTCCTCACCCGAGCCCCCAGATGGGGAATACGTACAATGCTATAAACCTACAACCTGACAAACAGTCATTGCTTATTTAGCAATAGTCTTAATATTAATGACATTTTAAAAAGGATCATGGCTTGGCCTCAGAACTGATGCTGGGATAGTCTGACATGCTGTTCTGTTCTTTCCTCTGGACTTTCTGTTCTACAAACTTTTAACCAAAGAAAATATGAGAACAGAATAAGGGCAGTTTGAAGGGATTTATATTCACATACAAAAATTTGCCCGTTCTTCTTTATAACATCTGCAGCCTATACAACCCATTATCCAGGAAGTTTCTACTATCAGTCGGCAATTTTGGGGCTCATTAATTTAACATCAAATAAATCAAGTAGGAAATTTCAAATATTCATGTAATATATATGGGATGAGTCCAGGGCAAGTATGGGAGGGAAAATGTTTCTATTAGAAACAGGACAACAAGGAGAATTGGCTTTTAAATACATTAGAGTCAAAGTGGTATTTCAGTTGTCTGATTCACAGTAGGACACGGAAAAATCAGTTTGGAACAACAGACACGTTTCTTCAGCAATATGAGGCCTTTGCCCAAGTCCTTCCATTTGAAAGTTTTAGAAATTAACAAATGTGCATCATGAGGGCAAGGAATTTAGGAGGAAAGGCATTATTTTATATTAATGTAATCAAGTCTGGTTGACTCAAGAGTTATAGAGCCAAGATGGTGGGAAATTTGTTAACAAGCAAAAATCATCACTTCAGTACTTTTATATCCTCTTGGGCAGACAAGAAAAAGGAAAGGATTTGCCTCCCCAGCGACTTGAAATTAATTTCCTCTAGAAAGAACAGCTCAATAGGATCTAATCTTGAAAATAAAATAAAATAAAATTACCTTGTGACCAAAACAAAACAATGCCACTATAATTCAAAAATAGATTTCATTTTTCCTTGACAGAGTTTTGAGTTTCTGGGCATCTTAACAGTTTAATTCCTCGTATTTTGCCTCTAGTTGAAAAAAATACCAAAAACCCATAAGCTACCAAGCTTGGCCGAAATAATCGCTGGTTCCCTTTTCGCTAAGACAGGAAATGCAGAATACAGTTACTCTGATAAACAGTGGAGATATCAAGATATGCCTCCATAAACTCTTGTTTCTATTCCTTTTCTACAGCTCTTGACTCAGAATAACTCTTTCTATGGCTTTCCCTAAGTCACAGAGAAACCAAAGCAGTAATGCTGAAGAAGATAACTTGCAGTACAGAAGACCTAATCTCAACATGTGTGAACTCCTAAAATACTCAATTTCATCAAAGCCTTAATTCACAGGGTACACAGTGTGAAACCCTAGAATCCCTCACAACTTATGTTTCAAAGTATGGCAGTTAGGACAAATGCCCCTCTCTCCTCTTCAAAATTAAAGAAATAAATAAAATTTAAAAATAAAGAATGGGACATACAACATCCCAAACACCATACCAAAAATCATTGTTTAAAAAAAAAATCATGGAAAGAATTCTTCGTGTCACTAGTAGGAATGGGTTGTGGAAGATTTTGAGATGAGGTGTATCTACTTTCAAAGCTGGAATTGCTTCTTCTCAGCCTCATTTTCAAATTATACTTTTTATCTTGCTTGTTATAAAGCCAGAGAAATGTTTACAGACCACTGAGACACAACCAGCTTAAGGCTAGACATTGCACTTTTGTCTTTTGAGAAAGAAAATCACCAACTCTGCAACTCCTTCGTCTTTTCTCTCTTACAGACTCACACGGCCCTGCCCAAAGGATGTGGGCACAGTTTCAAGATTTGGAAGTGGGGCCAGATTCCCTGCTATCATGCTGTAGTTCATTCCATCTTGAGTTGGGGGTCCCAATGAAGCTGAGGGCCACTCTTTCTGAAGTTTCCAAAGTGCGACAAAGCATTGAGCCGTTCCGGCTGCTGGTTAGAGTGTTTTTGCCACCTGCCGCAGCTGCTGTAAGGCCTGTCTGGTGTAGAGAACCAGCTCGACCAGACTGCTGTTCAAGGCCAGGGCACAGACGCTTGCACTGAGCTCTGTAAAGAATTCTAGAAAGAAGGAAAGAAAAGGAAAAGGAGAAATGAAGTTAAGGGTCCAGCAATATTATGTGAAAGATAAAGGAAATCTAGGGGCAGCAAGGTGGTGCAGTGGAGAGGGCACCCACCCTAGAGTCAAGAGGACCTGAATTCAAATCTGGCCTCAGACACATAACACTTACTAGCTGTGTGACCCTGGGCAAGTCACTTAACCCTACTGCCTAGCCAAAAAAAAAAAAGTTAAAGGAATCTAAAACCATTACCACTGAGCTACTCAGGAAAGTACATGAACATTAACACAGGATAGGCTTTGAAACATAACATGACTCCAGCTACCCTCTGGTCTGTGAACATACTACCCACAGCCCACAAACTGGATTTAATCCTAGGCTGTGCTAAGGAAACCTTTGTTCCAAAGTTCTAAATCATGATCCTCAACATAGTGATGGTTTCTCCTCATCTTAAAAAAATACAAATATAGAATACAAACACAAATTCATATACATAATTTATTAAGAATGAAATGAATTGCAAACGAATGAAAGGTGACCAAAACTATCAAAGAGACATCAACAGAGCCTATGATTTGGTATATCTTCTCTCCCTCTCCCCCAAAGCCCCAGAGTGGTAACTAACCCTAATACACTCCACCTATCACCCTTCCCCCTGCCTCACCTGTGGACATATATTACAAGCCCATTATTTGGATTCAGCAGGCATGACAAAAGCCAGTAACTTTTCATCTCCCCGCCCCCCCCTTTTTTTTTGATGAGGCAATCAGGGTTAAGTGACTTGCCCAGAGTCACACAGCTAGTAAGTGTCAAGTATCTGAGGTCAAATTTGAACTCAGGTCCTCCTGACTCCAAGGCCGAAGCTCTATCCACTGAGCCACCTAGCTGCCCAGTAACTTTTCATCTTGGCCCCACCCTTGCTTTATCAATCTGATAAAGAAAGTACAAGGTAAGTAAAAAATGGCTCTCATTTTGGCTTTTTGTGAAGGGGCAGGCTATTCTAGTGTGCTCTCATTTTGCTGTGGAAGGCCTGGCCACAGAAATGAAGATGCCCTCTAAGCAACTTAACCAGAAAAAGAAGGGAGAACAAAAGAAGCTGAGATAAACATCTACACTGCCCCTTTTTTAACATGCTCCTCTTCCCTGTTTTGTGAAGCAAAACATTAACACACACACACACACACACACACACACACACACACACACACACTCTCTTTCTCTCCCTCTCACCTGTATTCTTCCTTGCTAGTGCATCAGCCTGTTCCCAAAGATCATACGCATTAAGGATATGGGACGTGATGGTGACGTAGGAAGAGGTCATATTTTGGATCACAACAGGGGTGCTGACAGTTGCGCTGATGCCACTTGACCCTGGCTGGAAAACTCCAGAGCTTGCAGGAGAAGGCATGGGGGACAGAGGTGACGGTGTGCTTATATTTCTGGCAGAAAAGAAAGGGAATCTTGTCATACATTTGGGTGATCACTGTATAAAGCCTTAGTAAAGCACCTCTAGATTTCCTGGTATTGAAGTAAACTGTGGCCAGAATAGTGAGTGGACAGAAGTAGAGCAAATACCATGTTATATCTTATATATTAAATATGTATATTTTTAGATCTAATATATTAAAAAATAATAAAACTGTCTTTGTTCCAAGGCGGGGGGGGGGAGAAACCTCTTACCTCCAAAACAACAAAAAAGATCATTTTCTTCCCTACAAAGAAGTAAGCTTCTGGGGGGAAGTGGATGTAAAGAAACATGGCGTGCAGGGGTATTCTGCACGACAATGGACATCTACCTCATGGGATAAAGTTCAAAATGGATAAGGTCTCTGGATGCAACATGGCTCAGTGGTTAGAAGGTCAGCCTCCTAGTCAGAGAGACAAGGTTTCAGGTTCAACCTCTGACACTGTATGCCTGCTTGTGTGACAAACAAGTCACTTCACCAATTCAGTGCCACAGACAACTCTCCAAGGCCAAGGTATAGAGCAGCTGTGGATCTGCAATTTTGAGTTCACAGATGGAACTACAGGACTAAACCCTGCAAAACTCTTTGTCCCTGGCTTTAGACTCAGTACTACTTTCTCCTAGGGCTTAAAAAAAAATCAGCTTCACAAATGTAAGGCAGAACAGGCTACCTTGGGAGTGGTGAGCTCTTTTATACTGGAGATATTCCTTGTCAGATATGTTGTAGAGATTTCTGGAAGGTCCACCTAATGGTGGATTAGGTAGCTGCTGATGGCAACTTTGAGTTTTGTTATTATGAGATCATTACCATCTTGAAACCTGGACATCTCTCTAGACCACAAGATTCTCAAGAATATATACTTTTAAGTAATTTCTCTCATATGATTTTAAGTAATTCATCTATTTTACTAGCAATTAGGGATAATGCCCCATAGAAGTGGGATTGGCCAAAAATGTTCAGAGCTGACCAGTTTCTTCATGAATATGCTTTATGATTCTATCTTATTTTCAAACTGAAGACAGGCTGTATATAATTTTCTTGGTATGAATTGGAAATAAAGCATTTTTATACTAATTTTAAAGTAGTAAAGCTGTCAAATGATCAGAAGCAGAATGATTACATAACATGACAAAGTTAACAAAACAACAGGGAAATTCATTTTGGTCTCGTAAAATTAAGTTTAATATTTCTAGAGACTTAAATGTAGGAAAATTCCCTTCCTTTCTTGATCAGTAGTTTCATTCTTAGGACAATCTGTAGTGGAAATGGGGAAAATTATTACTGAAAAGGTAAAGGTAGAGCTGGGAGTCAGAGCTAGGGTGTTGTCACAGATCAGTCCCTAATGAGCAGTCTTACCCATGGGTAAGACACTTAACATTTGAGTAAAAATTTCTTCATCAGGAATATAAAATGAAAGGAATTAACTATCTACATATATATTTTTGTGTGCATGTATGTATACAGACAGGTGTATGTATGTATGTATGTATGTATGTATCTGTGTGTGTGTATACACACACACACACACACACACAGATACAGATTATATATGATATGTAATCTATATTAATGACAGGTATAGACTATATGCAGACATAATCTATATCATAATCTAACATATATCTACATTAATATATAGATTAACCTATAATATATTATATAATCTACATATGGATTATATATCTGATATGTATGTAATATATAATTATATGTGGATATAATCCATATCAATCATCCATCTATCTCTTTCATTCCTTCCAACTCAGGAAGAATACACTGCATAGCATTTGAATTCTTCCTGATCATCTTGTAAGAAAATACAAATTTACTAAAAAAGAAAACAATGACAAAACAAAGTTCAAGGGACAGACAAGTATGAACAGAATCTAATAATTTTTTAATTAAAAAAATAAAAGTAAGGGCTAGATGCCTACACGCATGTGTGTAAAATGTGAGATTAAGTAGTAAATGTAAAGATCAATTTGAGAGATTTTAATGGGATTTGCAATTACCTTGAGGCACCTGAAGAAGCTGCCTGCGCCATTCTGAATGAACTCTGCAATAAAGAAAGGGAAGTTAGGTTTATGATTGTCAAGCATGATCACCAAATTCTATTAAATTTAGATTTCCAAGTACTGAGGGAAATGTCAAAAAGAGTGGGATAAAGATAGTAAGTTGTGATATACCTTAAAATGTTCATTAAGGGTCCGAGAATACTTTATTGCAGTGTCTTTCTTACAACGAAACATTGCCATGTAAAGAATGGACTGACAACGCATGCTACGTATAAAAAGAGAATACAGATGAGCTGACTAATGCAATTGAAAAATAGATCAAGGCTACAGAATGCAAGCTCAAGACACATGGTCACTTACAGAACAATATAACATTATGTATGTATAATTCTTTTGGTAAAGAAAATACTATAGAGAAACATAACTTAGGGAAGAAAATTCATGTGCATGTATTGTATCTGCTAGGGATATCACAAAAAGGAAAATTCATTTTAAGAAATAGCAAATATTTAAATATATATCTAATGAAATTTATATAAGTACAAAAGAAATACTCATTAAACGCATTACATACTATTAAAAGCAAAGTACGAACCTTTTGGCTAACAGTCAGTTCATGAACTTTGTCCATGTCCTAAAGCATTTTAATTTTTAAGCATTTAATTTAATTTAACCCTTTAAGGTTAATTCATTAGCCTAATACTGTTGTTTATAATATACTGTCTTTTAAAGAAAAAATTTTAAAGCTCTTAATTAAATTTTTGAAAAATTTTCTTTACCATTTAGTATATAAAAATTAAAGTTTAACAGGCCTTCAAATGATGCAAAAATGATCCTAAGCAACATATATAATGAAAAAGGTACATACCATAAAACAATGAAAATTTTCTCCTGTGTAGATGTTGAGGAATCTGGAAAGGATTTTAATGATAGTATGAATCTGTAAAGAAGCAGAAAAATATACCCAGTGAGTTAGGAAAGCCAAGCACAAATCTCATCATATTGGATTTTCCTGGAGGCAACACTGAAGGCAGGTTGAGAGAAAGGCAACAAAAACAACAATTAAGTATTGGCCCAGTTTTTGATGTAGTCAAAGTATACATCTCTCAATTTATGGCTCTGGGGAGAGGGAGGCAAGGGGAGGGAGAAGGAAAGGAAGGGAAGAGAAGAGAAGGAAAAGGAATAAGCATTTATCTAGCACCTACTTTGTGCCAGACATTGTGCCAACAACATTGTGATCATCACAACAACACTGCAAGGTGGGTGATGTTATGAGCAAACTAAGGCAAACAGGTTATGTGTCTTGCTGAGGATCACATAATAAGTATTTATTAGTAAGTGTATGAAACTAGGCATTTGAACTCAAGTCTTCCTGATTCCAAGTACAATGCTCTCTAGACACTACACAACCTTGATGCCTATGGGCCCCCGGGAGGAGAAATACCATGTAAACCAGGTGTCCCCCAAGCACTGTCATTTTGATATTTACATGTAAATATATAGCTTAACACTTTTTGTACAAGGCACAGATGTTTTGTGTTTCAAAAGTATCTAGACACTACTTTGATGAATAAAAAATACTTTAAAGTGTTATGGAAATTTTTTTGTCAGCATGTATATTTTAAATCATAACAATAGTATGGCTACTACAATATGGCAGTCCATGACATTTACTTACTTGGGAAAAAAAAGTCTATATACTCTTAGGTGCTTAATAAGTGTCGACTGACTGAAAAACTACTGGTTTAAGCCATTCAAAAAGCTGAATGAGGAGGCATTTCACTCTGACTATGACTGCCTGAGGTAATTCAACCCAATGCTTAAGAACTACTATGTTAAAGAATTTTCCTTCAGAAAAGCAAACAACAGATAATGAAGAAAGAGGACCAGAGAAGATAACTAGATTTGCTGAATTTATGATAAGAGGCAGGATTTCACAGAACAGTTGTCCAAACTCTCCATCACCTTTTACATAGTGATGGTATTTTCATTCCTTGAACACTTAAGTTCAGGGATTATATAAGAATTTTGAAGATACCAGAAAGTCACTTTCTGATAGAAAGTTCAAGTGTGATAAAGTAAACATAAGGGAGAGGAGAGGAAAGATGTGCCAGAATTACTATACTCACTTAATGAAATCCACAGTGTCTGAAAACATGGAGTAAACAGACTTGGATGTTGGACTTTCAGACTCTAATGCAATTCCACATTCAATAAAGGACAGGACAGCATCCAAATACTTAAATGCTTTTCCAACCTTGTCTGACTGTAGGGGGGAAAAAAAACACCGTCATTGTTAGGCTGAATACAGACTGACTTAATATTATATGAATCAAATTACCAACTGGACACTTTACACAACTTGATAAAATAATAACAAAACTTATTTGGAAAAACAAAAGATCTAGAATATCATAGGAAATGATGACAGAAGTAAGGATGAAGTTGGAAAAGCATGTGCAGACCTTCATGTTATAAAGTAACAGTCATCAAAACTAGGGCACAAAATGGAAATAGAAAAACTCCACTGGTCACCTCCTGAAAGAAACCCTAAAATGAAAACTCAGGAAAATCATAATCAAAACACTGAGCTTCCTGGTCATAGAAAAAAATGGTACAAGTAGCCATAAAGAAAAAATTCAAGTACTGAGGAGGCACAGTCAGTCACACTTAATTTAACAGCTTCTACTATAAAGAACTTAGAACTCAGAATATATCAGAAAGAAAAGGATAGGGGGCTTATGACCAAGAAACTTACCCAGCAAACTTGAGTATAATATAATATTACAGGGGTATAATGGAGATTTTTAATGAATCAGAGGACTTCCTTATGAAAAGAAGAGAGCTATGTAGAAACTTTGAAGTTCAGACACAGAAGGGAAGAAAAGCACAAAAAGGCAAACATGAGTGAACAATTCAAATATGTGGAGATGATACATGTCCCCTGAGAACGCTGTCATCATTAGAAGTCAAAAGAGAGTCCAATTAAACAAGGTCTGAGAGTGGTTCAGTTAAGTGTCACTGATTTTAAAAAAAGAAAGAAAAGAGGGATATACTGAGATGGAAGGGAAAGGAAATTTAGGGAAAATTATCACACATAAACAGGGTACAGAAGTAAATGTCCTTACAAATAAGGGTTTGAGGGAAGTGGCTGACACTTCAACCTCACTTTCATCTGAACTGGTCAAAAGAACATACATACATAGCTGGGTACAGACATACAATTCACTCAAAAGAAAAAAGGAAGGAAAGTGGGAGGTAAGATTAAGGGAGAGATCAATTCTAAGAAATCAAAGATGCATAAACATATTTATAACTTTTATTTAAGGTGATAAAGAATGGGAATCCAAGGGGTTGCCCACAGATTGAGAAATCACTGAACAGGTTATGATATATAAATATGACAGAATACTATTGTGCTAAATTCTTATCACTTTACTGACCAACCATAATTCCAGAGGACTAATGATGAAGCATGCCACACCTTCTGATAGACAGGTGAAGTAAGATTTAGAGTACAGAATAAGATCTTTTTTTTTTGGACATGACCTATGTGGAAATTTGTTTTGATTAATTATACATGTTTGTAATGGTTTTGTTTTCCTTATATTCTCAACTGAGGAAGGACTGGGGTGGGCAGGTGATAAGACAGGTTTTGGATGATTAAAACAAATAAGACATTTAAATTGAAAAAAAAATCAAGATTGAAAAATGGAAGAAAATCTAATTTTTGATCTAGTATCAAAAACAACCAACCTAAAATACAATTCAGAGAGAAATCCCTCATACACCTCTATTTTTCATATTTAAAAGTTTAAAAACCATAAGTTTAAAAAAAAAGCTAAGATCTTACTGAAGTAATCTCCAATTATCACATACCTTTAGAAATTATTGTGGTACTTAAGAACAGAATGGAAACATAAACTTCATTCAGAAAAGCCATCATGGCCACAAGAACTCAAAAGAAACTTTAATTAGTTATGCTCATATTAAATTCTGACCATACCAAGAGCTAAAAACAAAGAGCTTACACGAGGAGGAATACTTTCAAGATGATTTGGTCATATCGCGTAAATGTTGCCTGCTTCTTAATCATTAGGCTCTCCAAAAATCATGATTAAAAAAAAAAAGATTGGATGCTATATTTCAAGGAATCATAAATGAAAACTGCTGAGATCTGTTAGAACCAGAGGACAAAGTAAAGACAGAAAGAAATTATTAACCACCTCCTGAAGAAAAAAAAAAAGCCATGAGGAAAACCCCAAAGAAAATGAAAGTCAAGATCTAGGATTTTCACATTAAAGAAAAAATACTGCAAGAATCCAGAAAGAAGCAATTTCAGTACCAAGGAATTAGACCTAGAAGTTTCTACTTTAAGTAAGAGGAATGTCTAGAATGCAGTGTTCCAAAAAACAAGACGGGGGCTTATAATTCTGCAAAGTTGAGTAGCATTCTACAGAGGAAAAAATATCTTTAATAGAAGAGGATTTTTAAGCATTTCTAGTGAAAAGACCAGAAGTGAGTAAATTGATCTGAGCAACTGGAAGGGACTGTGAAATGATATAGCGCTAATGTTCTAACAGGTGAAAGGAAACAGGCGTCCCTTCAGAACTTTAATGTCTTCAAAGGTTGTTGAGGGGATTAAATAAGGAAAACAGAGGACCTAGGGATAAACTGGTTCTGTTCTGAGGGTTTTAAGTGAAGATAAAGGAGCAATTCAGTTTAGAAAGTATTAGTTTGAAAAATGATTTTAAAAATTTAGTTGAGAAAGTAGGAAAGAGAGGGTGAACTTCATAATTGAGGTGTGTGAGAGGAAGAGTAATATACAGAAATGGAAGAAGGTGGGAGCATCAGATGAACCTCACTATCAGAATTGGACAGAGGAGGGCTGAACACAGAAACACACAGATGCATTTGCACAACTAAACAAGGAAATGTATAAAAAAAGATCAAAATGCATTTCTGCATTAGCCACGTCCACAAAAATGTCTCATTCTGTATTTTGAATCTTTCACTTCTCTATCAGGAGGAGGTGGATAATATATTTCATCATTTGTCCTCTGGAATCACGTTTGGTCATTATGATGATCGGAGTTTCTAATTCTCTCAAATTTCTTTGTCTTTATGATATGGTAGTCATTATTATAAACCGTACCCTGGGTTTTGTTCCTCACTCTCATCAGCTCATACAGGTCTTCCCAGGTTTTTCTAAAAGCATCCTTTCATCATTTTTCTAGCACAACAGTATTCTATCATATTTATATACTATAACTCATTAAGAGTTTCCAGTTGATAACCACTGCCTGTCCCATTCTCTGCTGCTTCAAATTTTGAGTTTGTTTCACAGAGGACTACCCTTTTCTTTATTCTACCCTCCCTATAATCTTCCATCTCACTTTCCTCTTACCCTCCTATTTTCAAGTTGAATAAAATATCTTTCTGTACCCAACTGTTTTTGTGTGTGCATTCTTCTATCCTTTGACTAGTTCAGATAAGAGTGACCAGTCACTTCCCCAACACCCTTATTCTTATTTATATAAATGTCTACAGGGGCACCCTGCCTATGTGAGACAATTCTCCCTTACCTTCCTTCCTTTCTCATACCCCCAATACGTTATTCCTCTTCTGCTTGCCATCCATTCTTCTCTTAAAATCATCAAGACATGATGAGGACTCCTAGCCCTTGTCTAATTAGACTTCCTCTATGACCCCTAATAATTACAGGGCTCAGAAGGTTAATGTATCATCTCTCAATATTAGAATGTAAGCAATTTATTTCTTTTTAATGCAACACCAGTGTTTACTCATGTTGACCTTTTTATGTTTCTCTTAATTCCTGTGTTTGAACTTCAAAGTTTCTACACAGCTCAGGTCTACTCACCAGGAATGCTTGGAAATCCTCTATTTCATTAAAAATCCATTTTCCTCCCCCAAAAACAATATACTTAGTTCTGCTGGATAAATTATGCTTTGTCTATTTGCTCTGCCATCCATGATAAACCATACTGCAAGACCCAATCCTTTGGAGCGGAAGTTGCTAAATCATGTGTGATTTAGATTGTGACTTCTCAGTACTTGAATTTGTTCTTTCTGGCTCCTTGCAATATTTCTTCTTTGATCTGGAAGCTCTGAATTCCCTTTTGGGACTAAACACCTTGAAAAGTTCATCTAAATCATGGCCCCTCTAGCTTTTCTCTCTCAATTCTTTACAGTCTGGCTTCTGATCTCATCATTAAATTGAAACTTCTCTCACTAAATCTTCCAATGTTATCCCTTAAATGCCCAAATCTAATTTCCACCCCCATTTCTGATCCTTCTTAACCTCTCTGCAGCCTTTGACACTGTTGACCATTCTTTTCTCTGTGATACTCTCCTCTCCTGGTGTGTTTATAATATTGTAATGACCAGTCCATCTGAGTCTCCTTTTTTGGAATTTTATACAGTCACGCCTACTAAGTGTAGGTGTCCCCTAAGAGTCCTGGATGCTTTACTCTTCTCACACTATTTACTATATTTGGTAATCTTATCCTAGCACCCACAGATTTAATTATCATCTCTACAGAAACAATTCTCAGATCTATTTGTCTATCCGTAATCATTCTTCTGACTTTCTGTCTCAAATATCCAACTGACTAATGGTTATCTCAAACTTGATGTCCAGTTAAACTTAACCTCAACATGTCCACAACTGAATTTACTGTCTTTTCCCCAAAACCGTTTCTACTGCCCAACCTCCCTATAGCTGGCAAGGGTACCACCCAGTCAGTCACCCAGGCTCACGACCAGCCTTGGGGCTTCATTCTCTCTCAGCGCCCCTCCCATATCTAATCAATGGTCAGGTCTTGCTGTTTCTACCTATCTAACAACTCTTGTACTTCCTTCTTCCAACACTGAGCACCATGAAGCAGGTCTTCATCACCTCATATTTGAACTACTGAAATAACCTGCTGGTTGGTCTCTTCCACTCCCAGCCATCCATTCTCTACTCAGCTTTCAAATTGCTCTTCCTAAACCACAGGGCTGACCATATCATCCCCTTATTCAAAAAACTAATAGCTCTCCATTGCCTCCAGGATCAAATACAAAAATCCTGTGTTTTGTATTTAAAGTCCTAAGTGGCACAGTGGATGGATCGCTGCTGGGCCCAGCGTCAGGAAGACTCATCTTCCGGAGTTAAAATCTGGCCTCAGACACTTACTAGCTTTGTGACCCTGGGCAAGTCACAACCCAATGTCTGCCTCAGTTTCCTCACTTGTAAAAGGAGCCAGAGAAGGAAATGGCAAACCACTCCAGCATCTTAGCCAAGAAAACCCAAATGCTGTCATGAAAAGTTGGACATAACTGAAAAATGACTGAATGAAAAAAATGAAAGTCTGGCCCACTCTTACTATTCTAGTCACCTTATTCATGCCTCATTGCCCTTTCTGTATAATGCAGCGACACTGGTCTTTTTGCACACCCTCTTGACTCCATGCTGATTCACTGGCTAACCACCACAGCTGAAATTTTCTTTTTCCTCATCTTGGCCTCTTGGCTTCTTTAAGACTCATCTCAAATTCTACCTTTTGCAAGTCTTTTCCTGATACCCCTTAATGCTAATGCCTTCTGTCTGTTGATTATTTCCAATTTGTCCTTATTTGTAGATAGTTGTTTGTATGTAGTCTCACCCATTAGCTTATGAGCTACATGAAAGAAAGCTAGGACCTTTTTGGGGGGTAGGAGAGACCTTTTTTTTTTAACTCCCCAGGTGCTTAATAAACGTTTGTTATCTTGATGCTTAGAAATTCTAGCATGATCAGAATCACTCCTGAATGAAAAGTACTTTAGGAAACTAACTCTAATTTTTAGGGTGGGCATGACCTGGGGGGCTAAATCCACAGTGGATGAGAAAGAAAAATTTCCTTGACTATCAGACCATTTCACATACATAGTAAACAACTGATACTTGTTTAAGTGAATTGGTCCCATACTCAGATTTACCCTGGCTTTTTCAGATTGGAGTTGGCTTAGAGCCAGTCCAGAACCTTTGCTTGCATAGTAATTTAGATTTGTACCCAGATGATCCTTCTAGACATTTGAATTGAGAAACATAATTAATTATTTAATAAAAAATTATTAGGGAGTTCCCTGACCTTTCCCAAAAATTTACCCCACCTAGACCATCTTATCTAAGTGGAGGTGTTGTGCCTCACTTAACTAGAAACCCTTACAAAATAATTTAATCTAAGGTGAATTCTAGCCTGTTGTGTTCCAGTCAGGCAGTGGAACTGGGAGTGCAGGGGGGGGAGGGGGAAGAAGATTCTTTGCCAAGACTGCCTGAGACTGGGGGTGATTTGGAAATAAATGACATGATCAAAGTCACTGTCTCCCCAACCCCTCATTGGAACAGGTCCACCTCTCATTATAATATTCATTCTCTCTTATTACATGTTAACCAGAATTGATTGCTACCCTCAGGTATAACCACTCTTCCAAGGGCATATAAACACTAATGGGTTCCATGAGGGGTCTTTGGCATTCTAGAGTGTCATTGACCCCTTTTATTAATGATATGCTAGCATGAGATTAATTACCCAGAAACCATGTCTCTCAAAGTTTTTATACGTCACAAAATAATGAAATTTTGGAGTTGTAGATATGGGATAAAGAAAAAAAAATATGTGCACATGTAAAAAAAAATCAAGGACGTAAAATTTGTCAGTAATTTTGTTCTAAAAATTTGTACTTTCTACAAATGCCCAGGTAAATCTAGAGTAAACAGAGTCTAAAGAAATGTATTCCATTATAATCTTCACTAGCACGTGGGCTAAAAAATGACTAATGCCTTTAGAATAGAAAAAAAAGGCCAGAAGAAAAGAGCAAGAGAAGAACACGCACCATTGACTCTGCCTTATGCTTCAACTTTTTGGCTTCCTTCAGGTGAAAATCAGCAACTTGTCTGACAAGGAAAGAAAAAACAAATGAGTCCACAGAAATGTACAGCATTGAGGTAAATTTTGAGACTGACTTGAAAAATCCCAAACAACTCAAATTCTTACTTTTCAAACTTGACTTGATGCTTTGTGAGTTTGGAGTTACCATTTGGCAAAGAAGGCACAGGAAAAAGATCACCTGGAGATGCCTAGAAAAATAATAATGCAGATTAGAATTCAATATTTCAAGTTGAAGAGTTCTAAAATCAATCTTAAGAACTGAAAAATTTAAAAAGGTGGAATTAAGCACAAAATTAAGTGGCTAAATCCAAGCACTGATTTTTCTGATCACTAAAAATTCGTAGGCTATTGATTCTTTATGCTTCTGTCTGCCCAAAAGACATGACATCCAATTTATCAGCATAGCTACCACTAAAATCTTCTAGTCAGTTATATTTTAAGGGGAAAATCTTAGTTTCCTCATTGGGGGAGAGGGGGAATAATGCCTATGATTTCATTAGTACAGGGAATTCTGGGTGAGGAAACTCTCTTTACCAACGTAGATTGGTACCTGCTTTACAATTTAGTTTTGCAGAAATGCTGTCCGGGACACTAAGGGGCAAAATTTGAATCAAAGATTCCCCGACAGCAAGGTCGATTCTCTATCCACTAAAGCACACTGCCTTTCAATTCTCGTTAAAAATCAAGTATATGGGATGATACAGAAAACTTTTCTTGGATAGAAGGAAAGGGTGGCCCAGATAACAACTGGTAGGACTTTAGAGGCAAGGTAGCTGACAGGCTTTCAAATTTTTCTTGAGCCTTTGGGATGGTAGGAAGGTACAGTTTTGCAAAGGACAGAGGGACTGGGTACAAAAATCAAAAAGGGCTCGACCTTGACAGTGACATCAAGCAACTACCACAGATGTGGTAGGGAGTTGAGGTAGCTACATAGTAGAGATTGTTAAGACTTGGGGGAAGAAGGCTTGGGTAAAATCCTGCCTCAGACACTTACTCATCTGTAAAAGGGAGCTAATAATAGCATTTATTTCAAAAGGTTGTTGTGAGGTGACTTACTGATATAAGACCCTTAACACTAATACTTTTAGGGGATTTGTACACTATAGATGATCAGCTCCTACAGAGCAGTTAAAAAACTAACTCCCACTAAAGTAGGGATTCTTTACCTTTTTTGTGTCTTGGGCCCCTTTGGTGAAGCCTTTGAACATTTCTCAAAATAATGTTTTTAAACAGCTTTTTCATAAAATTCAGAAAAAACATAGGATTACAAAGAAAACCCACTATGTCTAAATATATTAGCTTAGTGCTATAAATTTGATAACTATATTCAATTATCAAAAAAATTTTTTAAGTTCATGGATAAGAGGTTAAGAACCTACTAGAAGTAAGTAATTGGCCATCTGGGAATGCTTGGAAGAGACAAATGATCAAAAGATTCAAAGGGAGGATGAGAAAGGATAAGCAAAAAAGAAAACAGCAAGAGGTCTTCTGACCTACAATCACAAAACACTGGCCCCTGAATTCTGCTGCTTCCATTGAGAATGAACATTCATGGGAAAAAATTCTGGAGCAGTTCTTCTATTTATTTTTTTTTGGGGGTGAGGCAATTGGGGTTAAGTGGCTTATCCAGAGTCACACAGCTAATATTATGTGTCTGAGGCTGGATTTGAACTCAGGTCCTCCTGATTCCAGGGCTAGTACTCTATCCACTGAGCCACTTAGCTGTCCTGTGAAGCAGTTCTTAACATAGGGTCTATTAACCTATGGAACTGACACTGTTGTCAAAGGCACCATAGCTTGACAATGAAAAATTGTCTATGTTAAATAGATAGTCATGTCACAAATGCTAACTTTTAAAGCAGCTGATAAATACATTCCCTTCTCAGAGCTAGGCAAATCAAACAGAAAAATGAAAAATAAAAAGGAAAATACAGAGTCGAATAAATTATTTGAAAAATTAGATATGACTAACTTAAGGTGATTTTTCAAAGGGACTGTTCAAGAATACTTTTCCCAGCATTCCATGGATCCTTTATAAAAATTGCCCAATAGAGGAATTGTCTTTTACAGAGTATAAGGAAAAAAAATCATAATGAATACAAGAACCAGGAGTATATGATACAGACCTAAGTGAAAACTCGTTAATGACACCCTGAAGAATGAGTGGATGAAAAAACAAATCATAGAAACAATAAATGTCAAAGATAATAATAATGAAAATGTTATAAACTTATTCACCTTGGATGACAAATGGGCAATTTCATTTGCCCTTAAGAAAAAAAAAGAGCAAATAACTTAAACTTTTGTGTGCCTCCCTCACCTTATGCTACGTCCGACCACATTTAAACATTCTAAGTGAAGTACAGAATGAAGAGATCATCCAAATATTTTTTTAAATCTCAAATACTGTTAATTATCTTGTATCAATTTATAAAATACAGCAAATTTTCTGAATATTTCAGGTATTTTATTGGGGGCAAGGAGAGGTGATTTGCTTAATTCTTAGAATTACAGATGAACACTCAGATTCAAATCAAAGGTTCAGATATTTTTAGTTTGGCCTTTAAAAAAAATGAGGGTGTGTGCAGTAGGGAAGAGGGTAGCAAGGAAATTAAAAGCCATTAAGATTCAAACACTGGAGCACAGTAGTATGGTAAGACATGTGAAAACATGTTAGATAGAACAAGAATGGTTCCCCAGTTTGTGGCCCGGGATCTGCAACCAGAGAACCTAGGTTACTATCCCATCTGCAATAAATCACTTAACTTCCTTGCTTTTCATTATCCTTATTTATAACATGAAAGGACTGGACTAGATGGTCTCTCAGGTACTTTCTTCTTCTAGATCTGTGATTCTGAAAACTCAATTTTTAAAGGATATGGACAGGCACATTTCCCAAAGAAATGTAAGATAGCCAAACCATATAAATGATTGCTCCAAACCACTAATAATGAAGGAAACGGAAATAAAAAGAGCTGGGGCTTCATTTCATATTCATCAGGTTGGCAAAGAAGACAGACATGGTTTATGTTGGAGAGCTGTGAGAAAACAGGTACACCAATACACCTCTGGCAGACTTGTACATCTGGCCAATTATTCTGAAAAACAATCTGGAATTGCATGAGAAAAATCACTCTAAACTATATATCCTTTGATCTGATGATATTATTAGTGCTATACCCCAAGGAGGTAAAAAAGGAGAGGCTTCTACAGATATGGGTAGTATCAGAGAACTGGATGGGGCATATGGAATGGCTGAACAAAATGAGGTCTATGAATATAACAGAATATTACTACATGCAAGAAATGATGAATTAAATAAGATCAAAGTGAAAGACAATGGTAAGATTTTTATAGAATCAAAAGGGGTAAAATAAGGCAGACCATAAGAACAAGACCATTACAATAACGTAAAGAAAAACAATACTGAATGACTTTTGAACACAGATAAATGTAAACTCTAATTGTGACTATAAAGGACCGAAGTGGGAGCATTTCTCTAGTTTTCTGGCAAAGAAAAGGTAGATAGAACTGGACATTTTCAGACATGTGTTGATGTGTTTTCCTAACAGTACTTACTGGTTACAAAGAAAAGGTCTATGGGGATGAGGAGAGTCACTGGAAAGTGACAGTGATGTTTTTCAAAAAGAAAAGGCCATCAATAAAACACTGAAAATGGAAAAATATTTATAGACTCGAGATTTGCTTTCTTACTTTCCAAAAGTTATTTCAATCAAGTTTAAAAGTTCAGACTTGTAAGGGCAGTTTTGAAAGTTAACATGTTGAATTTATTATATGTTTTAAAATAAAAGCAAGCAGTTAGGTAGTGCAGTGGAGAGAGTACTGGCCTCAGAGCCAGGAAGACTGGAATGCAAATCCAGCCTCAGACACTTACTAGCTGTGTGACTAAGGGCAAGTCACTCAACCTCAACTGCCCTCCCCCCAACCAAAAAAAAAAAGATTTGTACAATCATGATCATCTCTCTATTCTACTCTTATTGGGAAATGATCATTCCAGTTGACATTTGTTAAGTTCAAAATTTTTTAAATGAGGAAAAGAAGAGCTGAAGCTTAGAAGGAATTGACTGGGAGGAAAAATCTCTGTGACATAGCATAAAAGTCATTCCCCAATAAATATGTGGTCAAAAGATATAAACAAAGAGTTCTCAAATGAAGAATTGTAAACCATTAACAACCACACAGAAGAATGTTTCAAGTCACTAATAAGAGACTCTCTCCTCCTCCCCGCCCCCGGCAAGGATTCATTTTATACCCATTAAACTGACAAGGATAACAACAAAAAAAAAATAATAGTTCGATTTAGAAGGGTTGTGGAAAAGATGGGCACAGTGATGTATGGTTGGTAAAGCTGTGAAATGGAACTATCATTCTAGAAAGCAATTTGGAATTATGCAAAGGAAGTGCCTAAAATATTTAAGCACTTTTGACCTAGAGAGTACAATGCTAGGCACATACACAAGGAGGTTAGTGATAAAAAAAAATAATGACTGCACATACACAATAGCACTTTTTATGGCAACAAAGAATTGAAACAAAGTAAATGATAATTGATTAGGGAATGCTACAAAAATTGTGCTACATGAATGTTTTAATGCTGTGAGAAACAATGTAACAGAAGTATAGAACTGATTCAAAGGGAAGTAAGCAGAATTAGGAAAACAATATACACAACGAGCATAAAATGGAATGGACAGAACAGCAACAAACCAGTTAAAACTAAATGCATCAAAATTATATTGAACCAGCTGATCACCAAAGAAAAGGTAAGAGAAAGTATCTCCTCATAATTGTTTGCAAAAGTGAAAGCCAATGGATGTGGAACACTGCATACAGAATACATTTTTTGATATGCTGGTTACCTTAGCTAAATTTAATTTCATTAAGAGACAGGAGAAATGGCTTTTTCTGGGAGGGAGAGGGGAGTGGGATAGCACAAATGATGTAAAAGCAAAATGCAATCCATTTGTAAAGAGTTAAGCTTTGAATAGCAATATATCCCTAAAAACCTATTTTCCAAATGATGGATTCACAATGCATTTCAATCAAATGAATACCTTGTGCATGATTTTAAGTATTCTCTGTGATGTATATCTCTTACCATATTGGAATGTAAACCTACAGCTTTCAACTAAAAAAATCTGCCAGATAATGCGGAAATGTGACAGACAACCTGAGTAAACACAGTGTCAAATAGGTTGTTATACTTAAATTTGAGAAATTTAAATAGATACTTACGTAAAAACATGTGTATATAATATGTAATGTATATATAAAATAGTATGTAACAACGTATACTCACGTACAGAGGTTTGATATTTTTTAAACAAATATACAAACATTTAAACAAATTCAAAGAAAATCTACTATTATCTGTATTTCAGTATTTCATTATTTCTGTACTCACTTTATTACTTGTAGAGTTTCCAGAAGGCTTTCCTTCCACTTTCTTATACTTAGAAGAAGAAGAATCTTTATGGCTATCTTTAGTGGTGCTAGTACTTTTGGAGTGCCCCTGAACACAAGAGTGGCTTTCATTCCTTGGTTTCTTATGTACATTCTTGGCTGGTTTGGGGGAAGGAGACACAGATGGTGGTGGTGGCGGTGGTGGTGGTGGTGGTGGTGGTGGTGGTGGTGGTGGTGGTGGTAGCTCCTTCTTCAGCAAGTCTGAGGAGGGCTTCAACAATCTGGAGAAGAATACCACACTCAACTAAATTTGGCTATGACATCAATTACATGGCCAGCTATTTATACTTAAATTATGAAAAAGTTACCGGTATCACAATAATTTTGTTCAGTTAAACAAAGATGGAGAAGAATGAGGGGAAAAAACCAGTAAGAAGTCTTATCTATATCATGATTTAAATATGCAAATAAAGACAAATAGGAATCTACTAGGAGCAAAAGTAAATTTCAGGGAATTTCTGTTGCCTTTGAAAACCTAATCTTAGGGGCAGCTAGGTGGCACAGTGGATAGAGCACTGTCCTTGAAATCTGGAGGACCTGAGTTCAAATCCGGCCTCAGACCAAACACTTGACACTCACTAGCTGCGTGACCCTGGGCAAGTCACTTAACCCCAACTGCCTAAAAACAAAAGCAAAAAAAAAAAAAAAGAAAACTTAATTTTAAAACAATTTAGAATTATGCTTTTTAAAAAATTACCCTTTAACTCTGAGACCTGACACCTAGGTATATGCCTCAAGGAGGTCAAAGACAGATTTAAAAGGTCCTATGTACACCAAAATATCCATAGCATAATTTTTTATTGTGGCAAAGAGCTTGGAACCAAGGAGATGCCCACTGAGTGGGAAATAGCTAAACAAAATGTAGTGAAGGAATATAATGGAATATTAGTATGCCATCTGAAATAACAAATATAATGAATTCAGAGAAGCACAAGAAAACATATCAACTGATGCAGAGTGAAGAAGAGCCAAAACAACACTATACACAGTTTCTATAACAACAGAAACAGAAGAACAACAGCAACATTGTAATCAAAATCACCAAATGAGATGGAAAGGGTGGAGGGGGAATGAGGGAAGGGGAAGAGAGAGAGGAAGAGTTGGGGGAGAGGGAGAAGAAGAAGGAGAGAAGGAGGAAGGAAAGGAGGAGAGGGAGAAGGAGAGGGAGAGGGAGAGGGAGAGAGGGAGAGAGAGAGAGAGAGAGAGACAGAGAGAGAGAGAGAGAGAGAGAGAGACAGAGAGACAGAGAGAGAGAGACAGAGAGAAGTAAACTAATGCAAACAAATAAGTAAAAATACCATTGCATTAGAAAAGGCTAGGTTACTGCTTAACAATAACAGTAGCTTATGGAGAAGGCACAAAGTCTGTTATACAGTGAATACAGCCACAGATTTCATTCCCAAGTTCTTCCTGTGTGACCCTTAAAATAACTCCGAAAGTCTGAAGTGTGATTCAAATCTATAGTGCTTTTATTTATGAAGAAAGTTCTTACAACTTTGAGAGACTCTGATAACTAATAGAAAAGTGTCATTGTAGAGGTGAAATACATAGGTGATAATCTTCACATAATAGCTGTGTTAACATTAAAAAACACGAACATTTTCTTCCAACTTTTACAGTGATGAAATGGAATAACACTATTTACTGTTGTTACCTAACAGGGATGTTTTAAATAAGATGGAAGAATAATTATGAAAGCGTAGTAACTAGTTCCAGCCACATATAAATAAGCCAATCTTAGATTTAAGTGTTTTGGACATTTCTACCTGGATGTGTTCCATCCTGTACCTCAAACACAACAAACTTCCAAACAAATTTCTACCAAATTGGCTCCTTTTCCTAACTTCTGTATTTATAATACTGGCACCCATAAATTTCTAGTAAGCTAGGCTAGAAACCTGGGTATCACAGACGGCTACTCCCTGTTCTTACATATTTATTTAGTTACCAAGTCCAAACAAATTCTTCCTCCAAATCTCTCTAATCTTTCTCCTCCTCCACTGTTAGTGCTAACTTGGCCTTTTGTTGCTTCCTGTCTTAACTATTGCAGTATCTTCCCAACTGATCTCCCTGCTTATAATCTGCTCCCCATCAAAAATATCTTATAAACACTGCTGCACTTTCCTAAATCACAGCTCTAAGCATGTTACTCCCTTGTTCAAAACCCTTCAAAGGTTCCCCATTGCCCAAATAAAGTACTAGCTCCTTAGCCACTGGCTCAAGTTTCTCTATTGTCTGGAAGGCCCAATGCACCTTGCTGAAATTATCTTCCAAAACTTCTCCCTTCACAAGCTCTCTTTTCCAGAAGTCAAGCACTCCTCTTCACACTTACTTTTTGTTTGCTGCTCAGAAAGAACCCCAAAATGTCTATTTTTCAAAATCTTTCAAGGGCTAAATCAAATGCTACTACCTCAATAAATCTGCCTGTGATTCTGCCTCATCTCCTTCAATTTGGAAGTAATTTCTTTCTCCTTTATGCATCATCCCTAGCATTTTGTCTGTTTCTTCTCTATAAACATCAGAGACAAGCCAGGTCCTTTGACTTAAGAGCAGAGGTTCTTAACCTGAAGTCTATGAGTTTTTTTTTAATTTTGGTAACTGCATTTCATATAATTAGTTTATTTTCATAATTGTATGTTTTATTAATTTCAAAATATTATTTTTGATAAGCAATCCATATACTTCACCAGACTGCCAAAGAGAGGTCAATAACACAAAAAGGCATCATGCTGCCTCATTATATGAACTGAAGCTATAAGGAGAGGTAGAATTTGGACAGATTAAAAAAGAGGCATTCAAGAAAAAGGAGAAAGCATAAACAAGGCATACATTTAGGGGAGCTGTCTAGCGTGGCTAGTTATAGAAGAAACCGTGTGGGGTGGTGCCCTGGTGGATTAAGCTGGGGGAGTGGGATGGGGCCAGGGAAGGGAGGGCTTGAATAGGCAGCTAAAGTGTTTATGTTTGCTTACACAGCAGGGAATCTCTGAGAGTTCTTAAAGAAGAGTATTACAAATAGTACTGTACTTTAGGAAGACAATTCTGATAGACTTGTACAGAATGGACTGGAAGGGAGACTTGTTAACCCCCTAATTTAACAGTCCAGATGAAAGGTAATGAGGGCTAAACAGTGGTAATAGACGTAAAAAGAGAGGACAGAACATAACAGTAAATTTGTTTTAAAAATGTCTCAATACTAGAAAAAAAGAAAATATTAATAACACCTAGAATGTACAGAGTTTAAAAAAAGGAGAAATCCAAGGTATAGATAAATTTTCATTTCTTTAAAAAGGGATTTATTTTGCTTCTGATATTCCCAAATTTACAGCAACGTGAACTGGTAATTCTCATGGAAATATCCTCAGGAAGAAATAACATTAAGCAAAAGCAATATATATCCAGACTGAGTCACATTCAGCGTATTTTAATGGGTGTTACTATATAATTTCAAACACATATACTTTCACACATTGTTGCAGATTTAGTCTCCTTAAAACTATGAGTTCTAAGAACAACTAATGACCTTTTCAGGGGATGTATTTTATGAGTTTAATAAAGTGTTTGTCGGGAAGCATTATGTGTCAACAAGAAACAACATAATTTAGAAAGTGAACAGAGGAGCTCTACAATAGGATGGGGCAAGGCGACCAGTTTCTTAGAACTGAAGACAGGGAAGCCGGTCTAGACAACGTGATCACTTTCATTCTCCATTGTGCTCATCTTTATACTCACCTTGGTTTACTAGAGTCTTTGTGAGCAGAAGATGATGACCAGAATTTGGTTTCTTTCTCCAGTTTTATTTTCTTGCCATCAACATCTCTTTCTGCTTCTCCCTATGAATGAATTAAAAGAAACTTCTACATCACAGACTCAAACATACAAGTAAAACAATGTAAGAAAAATGCTCAGTACAGGCCAAGTATGAGAACCTTGGGCCAAACAATTCAGATTTTCTGTTTTTCTTTTTAAAATGTCAGTACAGGGGGGGCAGCTAGATGGTGCAGTGGATAGAGCACCAGCCCTGGATTCAGGAGGACCTGAGTTCAAATCTGGCCTCAGACACATAAGACTTAAATACCTGTGTGACCCTGGGCAAGTTACTTAACCCCATTGGCCTAACCAAAAAAGAAAAAAAGAAAAGAAAACATCAGTACATACATAGAAAAAAAAATTAAAATCAAACCTCTCAGCATCCCATAATAGGATTAATTCTTTCTCAGGCTTTCAAATAAGGGAATTAAGGTGATTGTGATTATTTAACTAGAGGGAATAAAGCTTTTAATCATGTAAGAATCAACTATGTACATAATTATGAAGCTTAACTGACAGTTATTTGCTTTCAATTAAAGCTTTCAAGTGAAAATAAGAATTTTGGTAAACTTGTATCCCTACCATGATGAGCTTGATCGCTGCCCAAGACTTAAAGACTTTTCTGATGAGATCAGTGGTGCCATTGATGAATTTGGTTTACGCTGAATAATGAAATGTGCCAATATTTGAAAGATCTACATAAATTGGCAAATGAATATTTTCCAAATGACCAACGCATAATGTTATAAAATTATGCACAGGTAAAAGATCCATTCAAAGTGCAAAATAGGTCAATGCATATTAATGTAATAGATTAGGGAAAATTCATTAATATGGTTTCAGATTCCATACTGCAGCTAACCTTTAAGAAACACATCATGTTTTGGTTAATGTAAGGGAAGAATAGTCAGTTATCTGAAAAACCTTTAAAAATCCTCCTTTCTTTTCCAATTACTTATCAGTGTGAGGTTGGGTTTTATTCATGAACTTCAACCAAACTGATAACAAGCAACAGACTGAGTAGAGAAGCAGATGTAAGCATCGAGCTGTATTCTGTGAAGCCAAACACTAAAGAGATTTGTAAAACTGTAAAACACTGCCATTGCTCAGTAATTTTTTGAAGGTATTTTTCATTAAAAAATTACCAGTTTTAATTTCTAACATGGTAAATATTGTCAGACATAACTTATATAAGTAAAAGGTCTTTGGTGGTCTCAATGATTTTTAAGGATATCAAGGGGTCTTAAGACCAAACAATTTTGAGAAGCTCTGCCTTAGAGGAGTTAACCCTTCCAGCCTCAGAACTGCAGAGAGGGGGAAACGAAGGAGGGCTGCTGTGCTCGTTGATGAGTATCTCTCATAGACCTAGGCCACTCTAATCATGTTGTACTCCGCAGAGATTTTATTGCTGGTCATGCTGCCATGGTGGTGTACACGTATCTTCTGGGCCTTCTTTCTTCATAATATTTCTATTTCTTGATCAAACATCAGCTGAATGCTGCCAATGCTACCAGAAAGGGAATGTGGGGATCTGCTCCATGGCTCTGCTCACATTCCTATTCCAACCAAAATACCTCCTCCCTCATCACAACCCCCCTATCGATATTATCTTCCCTCACTGGACTGAAAATAACTTGAGGAAAGTGACATTTCTGTTTTCACATAGCCTGCAGTCTGGATACATGTCAAGTTATAATGTTTTTTCATTCACGAGATGAAAAGAACCTCTTTCTTTGCTTCAGAAGTTACAAAGTTTAGTTTCTATAACAGGAAGCAACTGTGACAGACCTACCTAGTGGTGTTACCTATGCCTTGTCATCAAAAATCTGTTCTCATTCCTCAGGCGTGAGTGCAAACACTGAGACTCCCCCCCCACACCTTTCTATACCTTATTCCCTTCCATGTATTCCTTATGTTCCTTACTCCCAATACAAGATGCTCCAAGCTAGCTGTCTCTCATGCCTGGAATTCTCTCTATCTGCATCATCTCCACCTCTTGATTTCCCTCAAGTAGCAACTAAATTCCCTGATCCTTCCCTCAGAGATTATCTCCAATTTATCCTGTATATGTTATTTATACATAGTTATTTGCATGTTTTATCCCCTCTCAGACTGGGAAGCTCCTTGAGACAAAGGACTGTTTTTACCTTTTTTTTTTTCTATCATTAGTAGGGGTTCAGTAAATGCTCATTGACTCAAACTGATGGCCCGGGAATGAATGAATAGAGAAAAAGAATCAAAAGAGAAAAAGAAATATGACACTATCTTAATCTTTTCCCAAGTTTGTTTGTTTGTTTGTTTACTTATTTTTTAGGCAATTAGGGTTAAGTGACTTGCCCAGGGTCACACAGCTAGTAAGTGTCAAGTGTTTGGTCAGAGGCCGGATTTGAACTCAGGTCCTCCTGACTTCAGGGCTGGTGCTCTATCCACCGTGCCACCTAGCTACCCCCCTTTCCCGAGTTTGGCACATTATATTGGATGGGTTTATTATATTTTGTTTTTAAAGGTGGAAATACTGTGGTACAGTGAAAAAAGTCAGGCCTTGAACCTGAGGACAGGGGTACAAATCATTCCTCAGACACCTCCTAGCTGTGTGACCCAGGGGAAGTCACTCCTACCTGTCGTCTCATTTACAGCATCATTGTGCGTGTCCCTTTTTGTTTTGCTTTTGGTGAGGTGTCTTTGGTGGTCTCAATGATAGATGGCCTCTAAGGACCCTTCCAGCTCCAGAATCTGACAAGTCACACAGCTAGTGAGCGTTATGTGTCACCTCGCTGCCCCAACGTGCATGTCTCTTAAGGATCTGTCCTAGGTACATTTCTTTCCTCTATAGATATTTTCTCTAAATGATCTCTTCAGTTTTTGTGGATTTAAGCATAATTGATATGCAGATGAATACCAAATAATCTATAGATGCTGCCTACATATCTGTCCTGAATTTCAAATCTGTACCCACAAATCCATGTGACCATAACAAAACCATTATCTTCTCCATCTTCCTAACTTCCTTTTTTTTTTTTTGTAAAGGGCTCTACCTTCCTGTCATGCTGGTAACAACCATGGAGTCATCCTCACCAGTTTCACAGCCCCAGTATTCAATCAGCTGACATATCCCATTGTTTCAAGGTTTACAATATGTCTCACATGCAACCCCTTCTCAACAACGACATGGCCATCATCAGTTTTGGTCCACCGATTACTGAAATAACCTCCTATATGGTCTCCCTTGCATAACTTTCTACCCCTCCATACAGTTGACACATGGATATTCTCAAGTGTGTGTCTGAAGGTAAACAGCAAGCTCCACTGTTGGTGTTTAAAGCTCGTAACAGATGGATTCAACTTCCTTTCTAATCTTACTGAACACTACTTGCCTTTACACAAACTTTGTTGCAGGAAAACTGGTCTGTGTGCTTTTCCCCACAGGTGACATTGCTTCCTGCCTCCATCTCTGCTGTTATGTTTTCTCCACACAGCTAGAATAAACTGCCTCTTCCTTCAGCCTCTTAGAATTAAGTTTAGCTGTGTGTTTGCCATACCCTAGGTCAGACATGTCAAACTCAAGGCCCAGTTAAAAAATATTAACAAAATTAATGAAAATACAACATAATGTTAATTTGTGGTTTTCTAAGGCAATATGCTGTCCAAAAGGATTATGTTTCTCAGTTTGACACCTCTGCCCTAAATTTGTTAGTACCCCCCATGTTATTATTTTATATGTATGTTAAGAACTTTGCAAACCTTATGTGAGTTACTCTTTATTTATTTTTAGTTTTTAGGCAATTGGGTTAAGTGACTTGCCCAGGGTCACATAGCTAATAAGTGTCAAGTGTTTGGGCTGAGGTCAGATTTGAACTCAGGTCCTCCTGACTTCAGGGCTGGTGCTCTATCCACGGTGCCACCTAGCTGCCCCTCAAATTACTCTTTATCATCATCAACTCTAGCGACACTGTTTTTTCTCACTCTCCCTAAGCTCTTTGAGGGCAGGGACTGCTTTGTTTCTGTATGTGTATCTCTATTACTTAACTGAGTGCCTAAAATATTGTAAAAATTTAATTAATGTGTATTAAAGGAATGGGATTTTCCTTCATAAAGCCAAGTATCTGAATCTCTCATTATATAATATTCTCCATCAAATACAGGTAGGGCATGTTCATACACATACACACACACACACACACACACACACACATGTGTATATATATATGCATGCATGCACAGGTATATGGTGTATACACATACGTATATGTACTTGTACATACATATACACATGCATACACACACACATATATGTTGTAGTCCCACTCCCTACCACAAAAGTTTGCGTAGACTTCTTTTCTTAACTTGAACAACTTAATCTCTCTGATAAAACTCATTTCACAGACAGCTTAAACTAGATGGCCTCTAAGGACCCTTCCAGCTCCAGAATCTGACAAACTGTTTGTATATGTATACCTATGCAACTGCCCAGCATTCTAATTTTAATTTAATTCTAATAATTCTTCTAATTGGCTAATAAACGAATATTGCACCTTTTTCTACCAAACAAGAATAATGAAGAGCTCCTACTAAGGGGAGAATATAGGATACTTGGCAGTGTATCAAGCCAAAGCTGGAAAATACATGCGTCTAAGACCACTAGAAGCCAGAGCAATGAGCACATGATAAACAAAGAGAAATTCTCACGTTTTCTGGATGTGATGTGACAAAGGTAAGAATAAAGCTGAGAGGAAACAATAAAAGGAAAAACAACTACCTGGACAAATTGTGGCTTGCTAACTCTTCCCCTTACCTTTCTCTTTGTGCTCGATCTGTTTGAGTTCTCTGTGTTCCTATTCTCAGACTCCTGCTTATTCCCAGTTGGGAGTGGTTTGTGTTCCATTTTCTTTGGCTTCCCAGACATCTTGGGGACATGAGAAAGGAAGGCTAGGTCTATCTTCACTACGAGGCTTTGGAGGAGAGGGGTATCCCTGAGTGACTTGGTGTCTCTGCAAGGCAAGAGGACCTTACTCCCAGCAAGTTCCTCTTGAACAATCAAAGATGCTTTACAACCACTACCCCTGCTGCTACTGCCATAGGTGGCACCCTGGTTCTGAATCTGGGGACTGTCAGGGAAACGGTCCAGTCTCTGATCACCCATATTGTTCTTGGTGGGTTCAGGGTCCAAGGATGCTTTCACAGGCACTGGGTGAGAAGTTTTGTGCTGCTTCTTTTCACAGGGAGCTGACACTGACTTTGACTTCTCTTGTCTATCTCCGCAAGACCGAGGCCTTCCTTTCGTTTTGACTTTGGGCTTATCTTTGGAAGACTGGTCCTTTGACCCATGTGGAGGGTCTGGCTCACTTTCAACCCTCAAGTTATCCTGAAAATCTTCCTGGACTGAAGCTTTTATAGGCTTTTTGGGTTGTTTTGAAGCAACTGTCTGCCAATGTGTGGGGGTCCACCAGTGCCTTGCTGTGTGACAGACTTTGGGTAGTTTCTCTTGCCAGGATGGGGAACTTCAGGAATAGTCCTGGGGGCTTTACTGGAATTAGGGGGGGTGGGGCTCATTGGAGACAGAATGCTCATGACCACTGGTGCTACTGCTGCCTTGTCCCTGGACTTCCTGGGGTTGGTGGTGGGGCCCCACTTCATTGAGGTGCTCTGCTGACACAGGTGGTTGAGCAACTTTGGTAAGCCAGTTGTCCAGCTGCCATTTATTTGCTGTGGGTGGGTCAGGCTAAAGGGAAAAAAGAGAAAGGTATCAAGTTATCACTGTTGGCAATCATGTCCATGAAAAAAGGTCAACTTTCATTTATTCCACAGGTTATTCTCCTATGTCTGGATCATAGAAGCCTCATTTATTTATCTTCCTCTATTTCTCTTTTAATCTACCAAAGATACCTGCAGATTCTTTTGTAGGATCAAATACTAAGTGGAATAAAGGGTAATTTCATATTATTATCTGGAAACACATGTAGTTAACAGAACTAAAAGAAATAATAACAAAACAGAATTCCAAGGGACATCATTAAAAGTGGAAATTAAATAAGAAAAAAAGCAGGAAGCACCACATGACCAGACCTCAAGTTATATAAGGAGTAAGGTGTGGATCTCGGATGTCATTTGTATAGGGAACTCTGAGTGAGGAAACTCATTCTATTAAAGCAAGTCGGCGCCTCCTCTGAAACTGAAGAGTCTTATAGTCGTCTACAACTCTGAGAAATTAAGTAACTTGCCAAAGGGTACACAGTCAGTTTATGGTAGAATCAGGACTTGAACTCAGTGCTTCTCTTGCAACCATGCCAAACTGACTCTCAAACTATGTTACAGAGCAGAAATTAGCAAATACCATTTGGTTCTGATTAAGAAACAGAAAAGTAGATCATGGGAACATAAGTAAACCAGTAAATAAGATGCAGAAGCAACCAAACACATTAGCATGGTGTTTGAAAAACATAAGAATATAAGTTACTAAGGCAAACACTACTTGGAGTAATAATAATGAAAATAATAAAATTTATATTATTATATATTTATATGTAATATATAAAGAAAATATCTTTTCTTATTTATATATTATTACATGTTACATATCATTTACATAAAATATTTACATATGTTTATGTACAATGTACAAATAAAGAAAATAATATATGTAATATATAAATCAGAAAATGAGAAAAACTACTTGGAAAATGGAAAAGCTGTTTGACATCCATATCATGTGTCACAATAAGAATAAGATAACTAAATGTATGTAGATGGTTACCTAAAAATTAGAGGCTAGGAGAAAATCTTATTCAAATAAGAGACAGAGGTGCTCTAAATAGAACATTTAAAGTATGTAAATATTAAAAATCTCATGAATAAAAATCAGTGAAGTAAGAATAAGAAAATTTTAACAGGGAGAAACATCTTTATCAAATATTAGTGGTTTAAGTCTTTAAATGAACAAAAAAAGGGAAATGAAACCAAGGGTCATTCTGCAATACATATGCATTCAAAGGATATGAATAAGCAGCTTTCAAAGAAGAAATACAAACTGAACATCGTCATGTGAAAAATGCTCAAAAATAGTATTGAGAGAAATGTAAACTAAAGTTTTTTCTGAAGTTTCATCTAGACACATTCACACGGGCAAGTGTCATGAAAGTCCTTAAGAACAGAGAGGTTATGGGCAAACAACATGCTGTTGATGGAGAAGTGACACACTGCAATCACTCTGTAATTTGGAATTATGAGACAAAAATAAGTAAACTGTTGATCCTTTTTGAACCAGAATTTTTGAACCACTTCATTTAGATTGTCACTCTTCATTCAAGTCCTTCACAGGTCCTTTCTCTACCATGACATATCCAGAGGAGATTCACAAGGATGGTGATGAAAACTCATCAGTCTATGTGATGAGAATTACTTGAAGGAACTGGGAATGTTTAGCTTAAAGAAGACAAAATGTGTGTATGTGTGTAAAAGGTTTGTTCAAGTACCTGAAAGGCTGTCATGTGAAAGACTTAAAATCCTTGTATTTTAACATGTAGTCAATTCTATTCTTTGTTACATTGTTTGATGTGCATGTCTGGGACCTGCCAACTCATTTTTTAGAGAAAACATTCATGATAAACCTACAAGTTTTGGCCACAAAAATAAATAAATAAATGAATGAATAAGGCTTTCCGCCTTAGACGCTCACTCCATCCCTGGACTACTTCTCAAATTGGAAGTACTATCCTCTCTGAAGCCTTACTTTCTGATTAGCTGGTATACACATATATACATACACTAGTTTCCAAACCAGCTAGGTTGAGATTATAGATCTCTACTGAATGGAACTAGAAAGGAATTCAGGTATCTTCCCAGAGGTACATGGCTCCTTTAGGAAAACTGACCAAATTCTAAGTCATAAAGATTTTACTAAAGAATATAAGAAGGCAGCAATAAACATTATTTGCACATCCTAATATAATAAAAATATCTTTGATAAGGGATCTTAAAGAAAGAATTTCAAAGTAATTACTGGTTATATAATACTAAAGAACCTACTGTATGATAAGTGGAAGAGCAAACTATAAATACAATACAAAATTTCATCAAAGAAAATGACAAAAATGAGTCAACACAGCAAAACTTATGAAATGCAATTCTGAGGTGCAAATTTATTTCTCTTTTTCTTTTTTTAAGGCAATTGGGGTTAAGTGACTTGCCCAGGCTCACACAGCCAGTAAGTGTCGAGTATCTGGTCTGAGGCCACATTTGAACTCAGGTCCTCCTGACTTCAGGGCCAGTGCTCTATCCACTGTGCCAACTAACTGCCTCGAAAATTTATTTCTCTAATATCTTTTATCAACAAAGAAAGACCAAATCATAAATTGAGCATGCAACAAAAACAAAAAACAAAAACAAAACCCTGAAGAAAACCCCCAACTCAATAACAAGCTAGTATTAAAAATTATAGAAGAGATTAATAAAACAAATTTTACAAGTCCATTAAATTTATCAATAAAGCTAGGAGATGGTTTTTATTTTTTAAAAAGTAACTTGATTTTTTTTTAAGAGAGGGAAACCAAATTGCTCATTTCAAAAAGGAAAAACAAAAGGAAAACTAACAATTGAAGAGGAAATAAGTTATTAGAAACTACAATTAAAATATAACTATAAAAAGGTGTTTTTCCCAAGTATATGCAAAAAACTGATAATACATACATATAAAATACTCAAATCATCAAATGAATTAAAATTATTTAAATAATATCAGAAAAATAAACTGAAGAACCCATAAACAAATTCTAAAAGGGGGAAAAAAACTTGAACTCTAATTTGCAAGTAAATTCTTTCAAACATTCAAAGAAAAATTGATTCTAATATTACTTAAACTATCTGGAATAATAAGAAAAGAAAGCAGCCTTCCAATCTTTCTGTGATACAAATATAAGCCTCATAACTAAACAAGAAAGAGACAAAGCAGAGAAAGTTACAGACCAGTACCCCTAATGAATATTGTTGCAAAAATTTTAAATAAAATACTTATAGCAGGCTACAACAGAACATAAGAAATATTTCATATAGTATGACCAAGTTAGGTTGATACCACAAATGCAAGGTTAGTTTAACACAAGGAAGACCATTAATATAATAAACCATTTTAACAATAAAATAATAAAAACCATATGATTACATCAATAAATGCTAAACAGGCTTCTGATAAAATTCAATACTCAATTCTTAGAAAACTGTAGAGGAATTTCTAAAGTTCTCTAAAAACCACAGAAATCATAGGAATAAATGAATTATTCATCAATATAGTTAAGAGTATAAACTAAATCCAAAAGCAAATATATATGATGGGGAAAAATTAGAAGCTTTTCCAATAAGATCAAGAATAAACCAAGGATGCCTATTATCACCACTACTATTTAACACGGCCCTAGAAATACTAGTTACAGGATAAGAAACAAAACTGAAAGAAGAAACATAAGTTAAAAAAAGAAACAAAATTATTGCTCTTTGTCCATGGCAAGACAGTAAATTTAAAGAACCCTAGAGAATCAACTAAAACAAACAAGAAAATCCAGCAGGAAGAGCAAGAAAGAGAATTTGTATTGAAAATAATTACAGAAGCTATACACTATCATAGCTTATATATATAATACATACATCATATGTTATACATTAGCGAGTACATTGAACAAAATTCAGAGGCCCTATTTGAATCTAACTATAAAATACTATTAGTAGAAATAAAGACAGACCCACTTATTTTTACCTTCTATTGAGTTCTGTTTCATCTTTCTGATGGTTCCTCCTATTGGTTTTAATTTTTACTTATAACTTTACTAATGTGAAAATATGTTTAATGGGTACGTAAATGTAAAGCCTATATCAGATTGTGCGCCATCTTGGGGAGGGTGGGGGGGAGGAAGGGGGAGAAAAATTTTCAACTCAAAAGCATATGGGAAGTGATTGTTCATAAATCAAAATAAATTAATAAAATTTAAAAAAATTAGAATAGAAAAAAAAAGATAGACCTAAATAATTGGAGAAACATTAATTGCTCTTAAGTAGGTTCAGCTAATATAATAAAAATGAAAACACTAAACTAAATTAATTTACTTATTCAGTGCTATCTATACCAATTCAACTCGCCAAATTTTTTTTTATAAAACTAGAAAAATAATAACAAAATTCATATGGAGGAACAGTCCAGAATCTCAAGGGTATTCGGGAAGAAAGAAAGAAGTGGGAGTGGGGAAGACAGGGAGAGAATCTCTTCTACATAGCAGGTGCTGTTGGTCAACCATTTCAGTAGTGTCCAACTCTTTGTGACCCCATTTGGGGTTTTCTTGGCAAAGATACTGGATTGGTTTACCATGTCCATCTCTAGCTCATTTTACAGATGAGGAAATCCGAGGCAAGCAGGGTTAAGTGACTTCCCCAAGGTCTCATAGCTACTAAGTGTCTGAGGCCACATCTAAATTCATGAAGATGAGTTTTCCGGACTCCAAGCCCAATGTTCCATCCACTGTGCTACCTAGCTGCCTCCCCATAGCAGTATCAGGCATCAAAAAAGGAATCATTAAAACAATATTTACCAGCTCTTATAAAATAGTCATAATAATGCATGCTATTTAGTTGTCTGAGGGAGACATTGTTTATTCCAAATGTTAAATTTAACTGGTATGGCTTGGTGAATACAGGATAGATCTTCTACTCAGGAAGATCTGGGTTCAAGTCCTGCTACTAGAGGTCTGACCATGAGCAAGTTTCTTAACCTGTCAGTGCTCCCAGGTAATTCTTTGAGGTACAAAATTAAAGGCAGCTTTCTGATTTAGAGGAAGCTTCTACCTGAGGAATTACTAATGAAATCACAAGTCTATACTCTTCCTACCTCAAAACAACAACAATAACGCAGGTGATTAATCCAAGCAAATTACTAGTAATGATCTTAGTTTCTAAATGCATTCAGACTTGGGAGACCATATTTTAATGATGATGATGATGATGGTAACAGTTCGAGATCTGCAAAGCGCTTTACCTTATGCTATCTCAGCTATCATTACAACAACACTCAGGTAAGTGCTCTTATTATCTCCATTTCACAAACGAGAACACTAAGATTGAGAGTGATTGGCCCAAGGTCACACAGCTAGTAAATGTCTGAGGCAGGATCTGAACTCAGGTTTTGCTGGAGGCCAGATCCAACGTTCTTGACACCATACCACCTAACTGCCTAAAGAAAAAGTTTTACTGAAGCATTCTCGAGATATTGCCAAACACCCTGACTTAAGAACCTGCCTCTAAAGGTATTAGCCTGCATGTTTAAGGGAGAAATGTCATGAAAAAAATTTACTTCATGCCCAATATTTTAATGCATGCCATTATATTATTTTCCAAAAGAACCCCTGCCACCTCATTCTTGACCCAAATTTCTGCCTGAAGGTTTGCTTGCCTAAGGCGGCTAATAATAAATCCACTGAATCCCCATGTAAGCAACTGTCTTGTGTGCAGTAACTAACAAAGAGGGCTTATGTGTCTTCCCCTTTACTGTGTGTATTTCTGAAATTTGAAAGAACTTTCAGAGGTATTGAAGCAAAGACTTTACAGGAAAAAGGGGGGCAGCTAAGTGGCTCAGTGGATACAGCATCAGCTCTGGAGTCAGGAGGAGCCGAGTTCAAATCTGACCTCAGATACTTACTAGCTATATGATCCTGAGCAAGTCACTCAACTCCAATTGTCCTTTTTTAAAAAAAGCAGCTTTTCTCCTAATTAGGGTTAAAATGCTAGAAGCATTTAATATTTTTAAATGATGCTCCCAACAAGTAACAAGAATCTGTAAGGTTTACTCTACTGTCCCAAAAGGAAGACAGGAACTAGGACAAATTATGTAAAGTCATTCCTATAGTGTGGGGAGCTGGCAAGTCTGTGTTGGGTAGGAAAAGAAATGCTTCTCCCCTGGGATGAGGCAGATGAAGGAATGCCAGAGTGAAATCTGCTGCAGAGGGGCAGAAGGCTGCCCCAGGGACGCTGGGTTTTCTGTACCCCAGGGCCACCGTACCTCAGGCGCCGGAGGTTCTGGGGGTTCATTCTCTTCACTGTCACTGGAGCTGCTTTCACTCTCTGAGTCTGAAGAGGTATCAGAATCACTGGTGCTCTCTGATTCTGTATTGCTGGAATGTGCTGAAACCACACTGTCTGCAAGGGACTGCGGAACACTACAAAGCAACAGAGAAAAATGACACAGTGGCACGTCAAGTGTCATCTTATCCCGCTCTGCATTATTATTATTATTATTATTATTATTATTATTATCATTATTATTATTATTATTATTTTGCTAAAGTAACAAACGGCCCCTGCAAATATACTGGGGCCCTTTATTATCAAGAGATGAAAATCATAGCTCTAGAGTTAGAAGACACTACAGAGGCCATCCAATACAAACTCCTCATTTATAATCCAAGGAAATTACTAGTAATGATCTTACTTTCTAAATGCATTCAGGCTTGGGAGACAATATTTTAATGATGATGATAATATAAATAAAGGAAACTGAGGCCAAAGGTGGCCTTTAAGTGATTTCCCCTCACCACACAAGCGGGAAATATGAGAAATGGAAAATAGTTCTCACTAATAAATATGAGGGGGAGGCTATGAACCCAGGCCCTCTGGGATCTTTAACCTTTGGATTTGAATTCCACAAATGAAACATTCCCTTCCAGGACTACAGAGTTTATTCCTAAAGAATTCCTAAGAACTTAATCCTCACTAAAATTATTTATTTCTTAAGGCAACTGAAATAATATCAATTCAAAAATAAAGGAAAAAGTGTTAACATTTGATTTATTTTTTCTCTAAGAACTATTACATGATAACAAGAACTGTTTGCAAATATGATGACTGGAAGATGACTTGAAAAACCAGTCACTTAATAGGCATACATTGGTCAATCTCTGGACAATGAAAAAACCAAGGACTGTGTCCAATGTACAAGATATGTTCAGATACACACACACACACACACACACACACACACACACACACACACACACACTTCTTGAAGTCATCCAAGTACAACAGTGGTAGTTGATTAAACAATCACTTCATTATGACTCAGTATGTGTGACACCAGTAGAGCGTGACAAATGAGACAGAATAAAGTGCTCTCACCCAAAGGAATATATGACTGACTAGCACCTTGAAGACTTCCAAATAGTCTTAAAGGAATTTCAGAAGAGAAAAGTTGCATCATCATTTTTCAAACAGACTTTTAAAAAAATTTCTCACAATTTTTTGTGACAGAAAACATATAATTTTCAACAGCCAACTTTGAAACTGCTTTTAGAAGTTAATTAAATGAGTGATGATTTCTCCATTGTCAGCAATGCATTGTTGAGTGGATCGATAATGTTGCTATCTGAATATGTTACAGAATCTTAACGTAACATTAAGAGGCCTTCTACAGGGCAATCATTACAAATATTATCTACAATTAATGGCATGTTAGCTGTGTGCCTATGCTAAGTAAAAGTGGTTCATTAAGCCATGACTTTTATTTCAAGGGTACCAATGAACTTCATTTTAATCTCTGAGTTCTCCTTTCCAAGCTGTTACATCTCTAATCCACACTTATCAGTTGGTGGTTAAACATTATGGGCTCAACTCTGAGCTTCAAACCAACTGGTAACAAGTCATCTTTCATTCTCTTTCTTAAGGGGCTGTCAAACATGTTGGCCACAACAAAATATTTAAGAGCACTAAACCTGTTTAATTTTTCTGATTACTAGATAGAAAGATACTTATTTTTAAAAAAAACCCAGAAGTTTCTTTTGTCTTTTATTGTTTAACACAGGACTCAAATGAATATGCCCACAAATGAATTTCCCAAGCTACCCTTAACCAACCAACCATAGTAAAAGAACCAATTTAAACTTAAGCAGCACTCAGTCCCTATCCAGTTCACCTAAATCCACTCTAAAAACAGATGCTAATATACAGAACGTCTGAAACAGCTCAATCACTCAAAAATTATAAATTAGATTTTCTGCATTTTCTGTAGAATGTCAAGACTTCTACAGCCATGAGAGGAAATACAGTACCTTGCAGGAGCAGATGAAGAGGGGGCTTCTCAGAGGCCTAAGTTTTTAGAAAGAGACAGGGAGAGAGGAAATTGGGAGAAACAGAGAATTGGTTAAGTTAATGCAACTTCAAAACACAGCAAGTTATATGGACTTAAATGTAATTTCTGTTTTATGTCACATGTAAAACTGACTTGCTCATCACCACTGTCTTCACTGTCACTGATCTGAAGGTCATCTTCTAACATCCTAGAAAACAGAGAGAGAGACAAATTTTAGTTTTAGAAACAATCTCCACTATTGTTTCTGAACTTATTAAAACTTAGGGGTGATATATCTCCAGTAAACACTAAAACAAGCACTAGGAATTTTGTTTCAAAGTTAATAATAACAAAAGTCCAAAACCTCAAGGACCCGAATTTCTTTTTCATTACGAATAGAGAAAGTGACTCTTAATATTCTAAGCACAATTTTTGCCAATTTTAGGTTTTTTCTTGGATCCTCACACATGCTTAAAATTACACTAAGACCTTTCGGACACGCTGAATGCTCCCTAATAATTCATTCAACAACAGTATTTGACTTTGCCATGTGCAACTGTGAAATTTAAGCAACACAAAACAAGACAATAGATATGACACAGAAAAACTTATAAAAGCCCTGGCAAATCATTTAAATGAAATTCATCCTTGAACTACATGAATTTCAAGAACATAATAATAATGTTTCAATAAACATATATAGTGCCCCAGTTGTCCTGTACAAGCCTCACAAATCCATAATTACATTTCTGTGTAAATTCAGATATCAACATGTAAACTATTTCCTTCATCATGGAAAAGTCATCAAGCCACGTGTACAAGCAAATGAATCAGTTCAGTCATTTTGAATAGGCCAGATAACATATAGAATTCAGAGCCAGAACCTTTTCCCTCAATAACAGCAGATTTTAAGTTTGAATTAACAAGATCATTGTTTAAATTTTTTCACTTTCCTTACATAAATACAGGCAAATAGCTCAGTCTAGTACCTATTTGACAGGGTATTGCCATACTATATAGGAATTAAAACAAAATCAAAGTCCTAGGGTAATCTAACATTTAAGGAAACAGTAATTTACCCAATGGGCAGACTGCTCCACCTTAAAAAAAGAGTACTCTAGTTTCTGCAAGTCTACTAATTACAGCAAAAGTGGCAGAAACAGAATATCAATTTGAAAGATTCATTTCCCATCACTGTTATCTCTATGAGAAAAAAGATCAGCAGATTTCCCAACTTTCTTTCAAGACAGTTCAGAGGGAATCTGAGATATTTCAGACCTAAACTGAGTAATAATAATAATTTTTAAAAATTTCACCTTGAATGTTTCTTCCGTGACCTCCTCTCCCCACCACAGAGCTTCCCACGATGAAAATATATGGATGAATGAAACCCACAGATTTGTATCTGTTGTTCTTACTTCTAGAACTGCTGCTTTTCTTGGCATTAATTATGACAAATAAAAAGTATAAGTGTGGCCTACTGTACAGAGACCCAGTTTGAGAATCAAGATCTAAGTCTTGCTGTTGACAGATAATAGCTGCTAGTTAACTTAACTTCTCAGTGCCCCAGGCAACCCACCAAGACTGTAAGTTATAGACAAGTTGTTAGGATATGAAAAGCAATCAACAAATAACTTCTCCCTGAGAATACATGTTCCTCCTGCTTGAGTCCAGGTTCCCAGAAGTACCTGGGATATAACACTTAGGCTTCCCTTAATTGTTTAGGGGCTCCCATTAGACCCCAAGGGACTGGGCTCAGGGGGAGACACTGACCCTCTCAATCACCTGCCTTAATCAGCAAATCTACCATTGTCTACCACTGACTGAATGGTTAACATGCTACCATTCCCTTTTACTTTCCCTATTCCAATAATATTGTACTCTTTGACAGTTGAAAAAAGTACTACTTCTCAAATCCCAGTTGCTAAAATTCATTCCCACCCACTTTGACCCTACCCTACCAAATCATACTACAGATTTTCCCACCATGCCAACTGGTATCTGTACTGTAGAATAAATAAGCTTCCTTTCATTTTCATTCATTTTTCTCTTACTCATTCCATCTTTTCGATCTCTGAGATGTCACTGTATCCCTGGCCCATCGTTTTCAGATCTGGTTATACCTTCTCTGGTCAATATTTCTCATTCCCTTCCAAACCCTTTGAACTCTCACTTCCAGCTTCAGCAGTAAACTGATCACTTTCTCCAAAGTAAACCATAATATCTTTATTACTAAATCTGATGGTCTTTTCTGAAACCTCTTCATTCTTGACCTGTCTAAAGTACGTGACACAGACGACTACTTTTTTTTTCCCCGTTGATACTCTCTTCTGAACTTTCATGATGTTGTTCTTGGTTTTTTCCTATGACCCTGACACTCCTCTTCAGTCTTTAGATTCATCTATACCACTTCACTAAATGTATTCCCCAAGGCTCCACCCCTCTTTTCTTTTAGAATTTTCTATTATTTTAGTTTATTGTTTTTAGTTATTTCCAGTAGTGATCTCATTAATATGGCTTCAAGTATCATCTTCATGCAAATGTCCTCATTATCTATCTATCTATCTATCTACACACACACACACACACACACATCCAACCCTAGAACCTTTTCTGAGCTCCAATCCAGCATTTCCAATTAGCGAACGGATATTCCAAACTAATGTTCCATAGGTATATCAAACCCAACATGTCCAAAACATCATCTACCCAAATCCATACTTCCTTCAAACTTAACTACCATTACAAAGGGCACAAACCATCCTCCAAGTCACCCAGGTTCACTTCAAAGCTATTCAACTCCTCAATCTCATTCAGCCCACACATCCAATCAGTTGTCAAATCTGGTCATTTCTACATTCATAACATCATTCTTAGACACCTCCTTCTCTGTTCTCTCATAGCTACTACCCTAGCTCAGTCCCTTATCATCTCTTACCTGTACTCTTATAATACCCTCCCAATTGGTTTTCTTGACTCAAATCTTTTCCTATTTCTATTTTTTAAATTTTTTTATCTTTGTTTGCTTTTTAGGCAATTGGGGTTAAGTGACTTGCCCAGGGTCACACAGCTAGTAAGTGTCAAGTGTTTGGTCTGAGGCTGGATTTGAACTCAGGTCCTCCTGACTTCACAGCCAGTGTTCTATTCACTGCGCCACCTAGCTGCCCCAATCTTTTCCTATTTCAATACATCCTCCATATCACAGCCAAAGTATTTTCCTAAAGAACAGGTTTGACCATGTCATCTCTACTCCCCATTTAATAAACCCCACAGTGGCTCTCCATTACATCAAAATCCAAAGTGTACTCCCTTGACATTTAAAGTTCTCCAAAACCGAGCTCTTCCCTATTTTTCTACTCTTCTTAGACATCACTTCCAAACATGTACTTCACGGCATGGTCCAACCATACTGAACTGTTCCTCACTCTTTTAAGATCACTTACTATATACTAAGGTTCTTCTTCCCCCCATCTATCTCCATGGGTTGGCTCTCTCCCTCTCAAAGGCAAAGAAACTGTTCTCAAGAACTGACTAGTCCAGGAGGTTAATGTTCTACCCCCATTACTCAGCTTCCTGGTGGCTTCTGGATATATTTATGCTATTTTCTCATCTCCTATGTGTATTGACCACCCATGTAGAGTTAAGTCTCTTCTGGCTTGGTAGATGTACCAATATCTACCCATCAACAGAATTATAGTCTAAATTTAGACTATACTATAGACTAAACTGTAAGTTTAGCAGTTACTAAATCCACTGAAAGCTATTTATTAAAATAGTCTATATGTTGACTATTTTTGTATGTTATATATAGCAATACATATAGCAATACACATTTAGCAACAATATAAAACAGTATCAATTAATCTAACTGCAGATTGTTAATGCCAAACATATACTAAAAGGCACACTGAAAGTATATAAATTTACTTAAGAAAATTAAAAAGCTCTGCATTTTTAAAGACCATCTAATTGCTGTTATGAAAAGGACTATGGCTTAACTCATCTAACCTGTCTCTTAAAATTTAAGATAAAACTTAATAATTTTAAACCTGCAAGGTAATTTATTTCATCTTTATCATCAGGTTTGTCCCTACCCCCAAATTATTATGAGCACAAATATGGTTTTCTTTGGCATTGTTTAGCATAAGTTAACAGTTGAGTAGGTTAATTACATTTCATGTTATTGGTTGGGACACTTTTTACTTTTAGAAAATCATTCCTTAAGCTATTTTAAAAGAAAATTGTGAAGAACTATCGGTAGGGGCAGGTTGTAGCAGCAAGTTCGTCATGAGTCAGAGTAGACTAGAATCTCATGCTGTTAGATGTAAGGAAGGTATAAGAAATATTTCTCTTACATAACACCAAGTCAAAACAGAATCATTTCTTACCTGAAGGCCTCTGGAGTGTATGGCGCATTACAAATCAATGAGTTGTTTTTAAAAAAATGTATCACAAATTAAAAGTAGGTATAAAAATTCTGGCACCACTGATCCAGAACCACATGAAGCCCATCACTAATTGCTAATCCAGCTTGCTGTTATCAACTGATTATAGGGACTCACACAAAGGACTTCACTGCACTGGTCCTGAGATGACCCACTAAAACTCTCCCTTGAAAAGCAGGTGCTGTTCCACTTTGGCAGAAAAAGTTCTTTAACCAATGAAACCCTGGATCTAGAGTAACAAAAGTGAGCAAGTGAGTGCTGAAATTAATATCAGCAATCACTGACAAAATGTAGAATGTACAACCATGAAACGGTAATTTCTCATGAATGTAAGCTTTGAAAATCCAATGATACTTAAAATGTTACTGAGGTTTATAAGCCCCGAAATGTAGAAATTTACTTCTACATTTATTTATTTATTTGTCTGTTACTGTACACTGCATACAATGACAGGGTGAAGGCATTGAATTCCATTTCCTTTCAAAAAGCTTTTTTTTTAACTTTGCTTTATCCTGTGCCTGCTATAAGTAATCAAACAAAAAATAAATATACTTTTGTGATTCTTTCCTCTCTCTTATAGGGCGTCAGTATCTAGATACTATATTTAGACTTTAGGTGAAAGAACAGCAAAATTAATGAATGTATACATATATTAATTATAATGATCAAGACATAATAAAATCTTGAGTAATTGGAGATTAAATAATCTTTTGAGCATCGATATAAAATAGTGCCACAATGTAATTGCAAAGAGTTAACTCAAATTAAAGGCTCAACAAAATCCTATGTTTAAATGTATTTAGATGGGTAGCTACAACATCACAATTCCATCTGAACCCCATTGAGAAAATGAACAAATTTGGGACACTTACGATGTTGCCGGCTGAGAATTAGAACATGTTTTTGAAGATGTCCCATGCTGTTCTGTGAAGACAGAGAAGCATATTAAGTACCAACCAATCAACAGTTACTCTTCTATGTACCTCATCCACCACATCTATAAAACTGTGATAAAAATGTGTCTGTTTCATAGCTCTGGGATGGGCCAATTTTTAGAAAAAAATGACAATGTATGAAAAGTAATATAAAAACCTTAAAATGCCATATAAACATCAGTTATTATAATTACACAAATATGTGCTACTGCTGTAAGGTAGGGCAAAAGTTAAATGACTTGGTCAAGGTCACACAGTGACAGAATCAAGGTGCCAACCTGGGTTTTCCCACTATCCAAGTACTGCCACAATTCCTTAACTTTTTAAAAAAAATACACAGCAAATCCTACAGTAACACAATCACAATTTTCTATCATAGCGCAATTTAGTTGTCATGGGTACTTTGCTACACATCATATTCTCAGCCTCTAGATCCATTATCCTGAGGCATCTCATCTCTGCTTTCCCTTTCCTTATTTTCATTTACTGTGTCCCATCCCCCAAGCTACAAAAACAGCCACAAACTGAACAACAAAGGAGTGAACTGAACACAGTAAGCGAAAGAGAGCAGAGTTTGCTCAAGATGTCTATCCTTTTGCTTTCCTTCCCTTTCAAGATGTAGGGGTGTGTGTGGGTGTGTGTATGTGTGTGTGTGTGTGGGTGGGTGTGTGGGTGTGTGCGTGTGGTGTGTGTGTGTATTTGCTTTTGGAAGTTTGATTAGGAAACAAGACTAATTTATGAAAAGGTCTGGGGAAGGCTGTGGCTATTTCTCTTTCTTTAAAACAAGTTTTTAAATTTTACATATTCATGAAGAAAAGTAAAAGAACATTCACAGAGAATAGAGAAACCACTGCTAAGCACAGTGCCTGGCACACAGTAGGCACTTAATAAATGTTTATTGACTTGACTTGGTTATGCTTGAATACCACTCATAAAATAAAAATCAGCAAAATCATTCATGCACAGTAGTAGATGCCAATGGTTTTGCTCCTGGGAAGGCTGAGGTTGGTAGACGGCATGAATGTGGGAGTTCTGAGCTGCAGGAGGGGTAAATGTCCTAAAGATGTCCATATTAAATCAAGGACCCATACAGTAAGTCCCTGAGGAGTGGAGGACCATAACATTACCTAAGAAAGGCTGAACTAATCCAGGTCAGAAACAGAATAGGTCCAAGTTTCTGTGCTCATCACTAGTGGGGCCAAGCAGCTGAATGGCCATTGCACGTGCAGCTTGGGCGAGATAGGGAAAGACCAATGTCCAAAAAGAAAAATACCAGTAATGGTAATGGGATATTACCTCTGTTCATGTTCACCGTTTCTCTTTTTTGGTCCTTAAGGCAATCACTTTCTGCCTTTACCATGAAACCTTACTATTAAATTTGACCAAATCAGAAACAATGATGCTCAATTTCTCTTTGCAACAATGGGCTACAAAGGTTGACTTACTGTGGTTCTGTAATACAGATTCAATGTGCTGAAACTCCTGGAAAACAACAAAAGCTCACATTAATAACTTTAGGAAGATTCACAAATCTTATAAATACAAAGCTATCATAATGCCATTGGCTTTTAATGTGGAAAAACTATTTTTCTGCTTTCTTGGCTATTTTGTAAATTAGAATCATTAACAATCTTCACTTTAAAAATACAGATGAGTTAATATAGTAACAAAATAGAAGACTGCAAAGAAAAAAGTGACTTGGAGCAGAAGTAAATATATTTATGATATATCTTCTAGGCACAAATCATGTGGAGCAACCTCTATGCCCATGGGGTTCATTAACAAAGGAGATATAAAGCATGGTAAATTTTTTATACAAACCCAAAGGGAATCCCAAGGAAAAGAGTCACATTAAAATTCAATAAATTTAATACTACATTAAATACAAAAGAAAATGATATTATCTAATATTTACTTTAAGGCAATAATTTGCTTATTATTAAAAGAGCAAGAAAACAAATTTCCATAAAGAAATTACAGCTACATTTCATTAATGTATTATTAGTTGGCTCAAGCTCAGTTAGGCAAACTCTTCATAGATACTATGTTTTAATAGTTTAAGAACCAGTCTCTAAGAACAAATATAAAATACTTGGGTGAAACCCAAGAGATTGCTTAAATTGAGGCAGGCAGTACAACGCCCATTTGCCTACTTATGCCAGTCGAAACAAAAATAGCACTAGATGAAATGACGTTCAAGAAATTTTATGAAAAACCAGAGTAAGCTACTCATATACCACAAAATTGCACTTTTAAAAATCAGGCAGAAGTCCACAGACAATAGGAAAAGGGGTACATCAAAAGAGTCAATGCCAATCCACAAGACAGATCAGAGATGGGACAGAGAATGCTCTAACCTAGCAAGACTCTGTGATGTGGCAGCAGTAGGAGCAGAAGACCTTCAGAAAACCTAGGGGTATTTGGATACACATAGGGTGGATCTTAGTAGCCACTGGGAGCAATGCTTAGACAAGGACACAGAGGTCCATCTTCTCTACCTCAAAGGTCAAAGCAAGTCGAAAGCTACCAGGGCGCTAAGCACAGACACCCACCAGGTAGAAGAGATCAGCAAAGAAAGACAGTGCTAAAATCTACCAAGGTTTATCACCCCTGCACAAGTGATGGCAGAGCCTGGGCCAGATGCAAAGCCTCAATTCAGAAATGAATAAGATAGGAATAAACAGAAGAAGAAACTAATCACTCTAAAGAATTTGTACAGAATCAGAGACGACAAAAAAATCCAAATTAGAAAAAGAGTCACCAAAAAAGACAAGCAGAGACTCAAAGGGGAAAAAAATGGGTTTTCCACAAGTACTATATGAATATCTAGAAGAAACGGACAAGAAGTTTTTAAAAATGAAAATAAAAACTCTAGAGGAAGGAAAATTAGTTTAGAAAAGAAAGTGGTAAAACCTTGTCAAAGTAATGGACTCCTTCAAAATTAGTTTAAGGTACTACATTTTCATATGAAATACCTTACTACTAAAAAGGGCAAAATGATTTTTCCATAAAGAAAAAGAATTAAAGCAAACAGTAATGGATATAAGACGTTGTCTCCTTCAAATAGAACAGATAGAACACAACCAGGCACATGCACGGGCCTAGAAGGAATAGAAAAAAAAGCGCTCTAGATTAATAGTAACTACTACAATGTGCATGTAAAGAAACAGTTTTCAGATAAGCTGTAAGCAGTTTGGGTGCAAAAGGGACTCTGGTATAAAGGAAAAACAGAGATTCTTAGCTTGGGGTCTATGAACTTGTTTTTTTAAAAATACTGCATTAACTGTATTTGCATATGTTTGGTTCCGTCTGTAATTCTATTTTACGCATTTTAAAACATTATTCTGAGAAGCAGTCTGGCTTCACCAGACTGCCCAAAGGAGGGGTTCATGACAAAACAACACTTAAGGAACCTTCATGTAAAGGCTTAAAACACTTCAGAAAGGGTATAGAGTGTCAGCTATTTTGTATGTGAACAGTTCAATGGTATAAAGGGGCAGGAAAAGAATTTCTATTCATTAAAAACTGATAAAATGTAAGTTTAAAGAAATGGACTGAAGAATGGGTGGAGCTACAAAGCACTGGTGATCCATCAGCTCATCTGCATGTAACTATTTTAAGGAATAAGAGTAAAAGTAAAAAATTTGAAATATCAGATAAATGTTAGAAGACCATGAAGTAATTAAATAAGGACCATTCATTTCACAGGGGGAGATTTGGTGAGATTTGACCTCTTCAGTGCAAGGTGAGTTACCGAGTATCTAAAGGCACTGATCTGAGTCACTGAAACACAGGGAAGAGGCCAAAGAAGCATGGCTACAATGGTCAAGAATGGATAGGAAAGGAAAGACTAAGCAGGTAGTCACAAAGCCAGCTCTACTGAGGCTATTGGAATAACATGACAGCAAAAAGAATCAACTAACAAAAAGGTTTCAGAAACCAGTTCCTTACTGACTGAAGAGAGAGAGACCCTCCCTCATCAGATTAGAGATTTAGGCTCAGCTCTTGCTTTTCAGGGGCAGGTAGGGAGGTGAAGCCCCTCAGATGTACCTGCTATTCATTATGGGGCTCTACCTCATACCTATTAAGGCTGGCAAAGAGGGCAAAAATGGAAAATGACAGCCACTGGAAGGATGGCAGGAAAACCAGCACACGACTTCACTCTTGGTGCATTTGGGAATTAGTCCAGTCAGCCTGGAAAGCAATTAAGATTTATGCTCCTAAAGTGACTGGACCATGTCTAACAATAGTAAAAGAAAGAGAAAAAAGACTCATGTACAAAAATATTGGTAGCAGCTAATTTTTGTTATAACAAAGAACTGCAAACTAAAGGCGTGGCTATCACAGGAGCCCAGCTGAACCAACTGGACTTATGAATGCAGTGAAACGTGACTGTACTGTAATAAGGGATGAAAGGACTCATTTCAAAGAAGTCCAGTGATTCCTGAATGAACTGATGTGAGTGAAATGATCAGGTCCAAGACAACTACTGATATAGTACCAACAATGTTGTGTAGAAAGGAAGCTTTTAAAGACTTAAGAATCTGAGCACAGCAATGACCAGCTATGATTATGGAGGGCTGGTGATGGAGCGTCCAATCAACCTACTGGAAGAGAGGCAATGTACTCAACGTATGGAAGACAGACTTTTTTTAAAAGGTAATTGGGGTTAAGTGACTTGCCCAGGGTCACACAGCTAGTTAAGCGTCAAGTGTTTGGTCTGTGGCCACATTTGAACTCAGGTCCTCCTGACTTCAGGGCTGGTGCTTTATCCATAGTGTCACCTAGCTGCCTGACAGACATTTTTGAAGTTGGTCAATGGGGACATTTGTTTTCCTTAACTCTGCATGTTTTGACGAGGGTTTTATCTGGTTTTCAATAGGGTGCGTGACGGGGGCCAGGAGGTAAAGGAGCTTTATACACCTTAGGGTAGCCAAAATGAAAGGAAAATAAAATATAGAAAGGCAAATCATTGAAGCATTTTTTGCAAACGCACAGAAGAGAACAGAAAGGTCAAAAGGAATGGTAGACAAGTAGAACAGCTTTTAAAGTTATGTGTTGAATTTATTACATTTAAAAAGAGAAGCAAATTATAAATATTAGTTTGGTAATTTCACGTATAACACTCTTTCATTTCTACTATGTATTTGGAAATGCCCATTTTGCTTTATATCTGTTAAGTTCAGAAGGAAAAACAGATTAGTTTAATAATTTTTTAAGTGTCTGTGGTTCTCTGCTGCCTTCTTTGGTTTGAGAGTAAAAAGCAGAAGGGGGAAAAGACATTTTGCAGTTGCTTTGCTTTAAAGGAAAGGATTCTAAGCCTGGAGGATGCAGTATCCCAGGGAGTGAATATCTAGCTGAGCTTTTTTGCACTGAGCCAACCAGGTTTGCTGGGTACTCCTCTGGCTTAATGGGAACTGCTAGCTAAATTAAGAGAGTAACACTCCCTCAGAGACCTTTTAGGGGTGATTATATATTAAAAGAGCTTATAATGCTGTCAGCTTGAAAGAGGAAGAGGATTTGCCTAGCTGGAGAACAGTAAGATTAGGGTCGCTAGGTGGCACTGTGGATAGAGCTCTAGACTTAGAAACAAGAAGATTCGTCCTCCTGAGTTCAAATCTGGTCTCTGACACACACTAGCTATGTGGCCCTGGGCAAGTCATGTAATCCTGGTTGTCTGTTCCCTCATCTATAAAATGAGCTGCAGAAGGAAATGGCAAACCGCTCCAATATCTTTGCCAAGAAAACCAACCCCAAATGGGGTCACAAAGAGTTGGACACAACTGAAAAACAACTGAACTGAGCATAAAGGGAGCGGAGCAGCTACTGGAGAAGCAGCTTCTTGTGGTACAAATACTCCTTAATGGACTAATGACATCCAGATGTGCCGACTAGAGTTGTGAGTTACGCCGTGCATCTGGCTTTTCTTGACTCACGCATTACCCTGCCAGATTTCTCTAAGAATATGCCCCTTTGCTCCATAGATAATGAGAGCATGCATTGGTGAGACAAAGAGTTAAGTGTATAAGTAGGATAGTTGGGGATGGGGAAGAATAATACCCGGGAGGGAACAGTTATGAGTGAAAATAAACTTCAGCTTCAGAGGGAAGATCCTGAAGGAATTTTTAAAAAGTAGAAAGTGAGGGACAAGGGTTGGCCATCGATTAGAGAAAGGCTGAACAAATTATGGCATATACGTGTAAGGTAGTATTATTGCACTCTGAGAAATGACAAAATATGATTTCAGAGAATCATGAAACAACAGATGAACTGATACAGAGTAAAGTGAGCACAGGTAAGGGGATAATCCATAAAATCAATTTTGAAAAGACTTAAGTACTCTGAATAAAGCAGTAACTGACCACAGAGGAAATTGTGATGAACTTGTTACCCAATTTATATTGAAGTAATGGACTCAAAGAGACATACATTTTCATATCTGACCACTATGCAGATTTGCCTTGCCTGGTTATTTATTTATTACAATGATGTTTTTTGTTTGTTTAAGTGGTAGTGATGGTGGTGGGGAATGTTTCAGTAATAGTAATACAAAAAGATGGCCATTGAAAGATTTTTTAAATGCACAAAAGAGAAAAGAAGTTCATAAGGACATATAGTCAAGGAGGACAGCTTTAAAGGTAACATGTTGAATATATGAGAATATGTTATATACTTTAAAAGAGCAAGCCATAGAAAACAGAGGTTCATCATTTCATATAAAGTCCTATTTTAATGCATTATGGAAATGCTTAATCTTTTTTGGTGTTTGATAAGTTCAGAAGAAAAAAAACTGAATTGAAAAAAAAACTTGTCTGAAAAGATAATGTAGCAATTGTTATACTATTCATAAATTGATTTAAACTGTTCCTAAGGACTTCTCAAAGTCACACAGAACTTAAGAGCTGGAATAACAATGGAGATAATCTTAACCCAACATCCTCATTTTTAAAAAAAGGAAACTGAGGCACAAATATAATAAATTACTTGTCCAGAATCACAGTTGGACCTAGAATTAAGATCTCAAATTCCAGGTGAGGGAAGGAAGGATAGAGGGAGAAAGGCAAGTAGATAGGAAGGAGCATTTATTAAGCACCTACTATGTACAAGTCATTATTCTAAGTGCTTTAAAAATATCTCATTCAATCCTCAAAACAACTCTGAAACGTGGGTCTCATTATCATCCCCATTTTAGAGTTAAGGAAACTGCAGAGAGAGGTTAAGTGACTTACCCAGGGTCATTTACTAGCTAGTAAATGTCTGAGGCCATATTTCAACTCAATTCTCTAGTTAAGAAATCAGAGTTTTTTGCTTTTGTTTTTACTGTTTAATATACCATTCCAATGCTCCATTAAGTAATAGGCTAAGTTTTTAATGTGCTTAAAAATTTTACCTTTGTTGGGAAAGGAAATTTTGAAGATTCAGCAGTATTAGGTGTATGGATTGCTGTTAAGGGTGGAGGCCATGAATGGGTCATTTCCTGAAAAAAATCAGAAGAAAGGGAAAGTAATTATAAATAAGACATTTCCTGGTATGTTATTTAGTTCATTTAAAATTAATGTGTAAGGAAAGCCGTCCTACAGTTAGCAAAAACCTTGACTGACAGGTTGTGACCCATTTCCTTAAAAAAATTTAATAGATCAACCATCATATATGCAAAAAGTTGAACATCTTCAGCATAAACGAATAAAAATTAGTTCAGCGAGGAAAAAAATCAGAATGAGTTATTAAAGACATAGGCATCTTTTAAAAAATATTGATTTAATAACATGCAGCTTAAAAAAATAAAGTTTCTAAATTCCACTAAACGAGTGACTTATATTTAAACGTGCCCATATTAAAATAGCTGGACTGATGAACTGACTGCTGAAACACAACTAGAGAATGACAGACAATAATGACGGAAGCTTACTAAATGTACTGTATTATCAGGCAGGATACGTTCTGTTTTGGTATTGTATTTGCAGGAAATATTCAACTTCAAATGGCATAACTTTCCTGTTTAAACTACGCAAATAAAAAATCTTGGCTATCATTCTGACTTGCTAAGTTTCAATGCACTTGACACTTCCCTGATATACATTAGCAAACGTTCTTATTTTTCTTATACTGCTTAACAACAGCATAACAAAATAAACATTTCTTGTCACTTTTTTTCTTAAGGCCAAAAAAGATTTCTTCGATTTCTATAATCTTTCTCCTAAATTTTATTCCAAGCACCTAGTACCTGAACTTACAGTTTAGGTGGGAAAGTTAAATCTGTTAAAAATCTTTAAAAAAAAACCAAGATGAGCAATGATAAAATTTAGCCTTCTTAAGAACTTTGTAAACCTTACTTTTGTTGTTGTTTAGTTGTGTCCAACTCTTTGTGACCCTAGGGACCACAGTATGTCAGGCTCTTCAATCCTCCACTGTGTCTCAAAGTCTGTCCAAGTTCATGTTCATTGTTTCCATACTTATCCTCTGCCATTCCCTTTTCCTTTCACCTTCAATCTTTCCCAGCATCAGGGTCTTTTCCAATAAGTACAGTCTTCTCAGGGGGCCAAATTATTTAAGCTTCAGCTTCTGTATTTGACCTTCCAGTGAATTAATTTCCCTAAGTATTGACTGATTTGTCTCCTTGCTGTCCAAGGGACCCTCAAAAATCTTCTCCAGCATCATAATTCAAAAGCATCGATTCAGAGGCACTAACTCAGCTTTCCTTATAGTCCAATTATCACAGCCATACATTACTGCAAGAAAAACCATATGTTTGACTATATGGACTTTTGTTGACAAGATGATATTTCTGCCTTTTATGATGCTAGCTTTCCTTCCAAGTAGCAAGTGGCTTTTAATTTCATGGCTGCAACTGCGGTTTGCAGTGATCTTTGAGCCCAAGAATATAAAATCTTGACAGTTTCCATTCCTTCTCCTTCTATTTGCCAGGAATTGATGGGACCAGTCACCAAGATCTTAGTTTTTTAGACATTAAGCTACAAGCCAGCTTTTACAGTATCCTCTCTTATCCTCACCAAGAGGCTTATTAATTCTTCTCCACTTTCTGCCATCAAAATGGTATTGTCTGTACATCTGAGATTGTTGACATATCTCCCCACCATCTTAATTCTGGCTTTTCATTCATCCTGCCTGACATTATGCATGACGTACTCTGCATATAAGTTTTATAAAGTAACAACATACAGCCTTGTCATACCCCTTTTCGATTTTTAAACCAATCAGTTGTTTTATGTTCAGTTCTAACTAATGCTTCTTGACCTGCATCCAGGTTCCTCAAGAAACAATTGAAATGCTCTGGTATTCCTATCTCTTCAAGGACTTTGAGGACACATTTTGTTGTGATTCACATAGTCAAAAGCTTCAGTATAATCAATAAAGCAGAAGTAGATGCTTTCCTGGAACTCCCTTGCTTTCTCTATAATTCAGCAAATGTTGGTAATTTGGTCTCTAGTTCATCTGCCTCTTTGAAAACCAGCCTGCTCTTCTGATAATTCTCGGTTCCCATGCTGCTGAATTCTAGCTTGCGGAATTTTAAGCATAATCTTGCTGGAATGTGAAATGAGCATAATTATTTGGTAATTTGAGCATTCTGTGGTATTGGGATATAAACTAATCTTTTCCAAGGCAGTGGCCACTGTTGAGTTTTCCAAATTTGCTGGCATAATGAGTGCAGTATTTTAATAGGATCATCTTTCAGGGTTTTAAATAGCCCAGTTGTGATTTCATCATCTTCATAAGCCTTATTATTAGCAAACCATCCTAAGGGTAACTTGTCTTCATTCTCTGGGATATCTGGCTCTAGATCAGTAACCACACCATTGCTGTTATTAGTGATGTTAAAATCCTTCTTGTATAGTTCTTCCTCTACTTCTGTGAAGTTCCTACCATTTTTATCATTTTTTGCATGAAATGTTCCCTTCATATTTTTAATTCCCTTGAAGAGATTTTGTCTTTCCCATTCTATTAGTTTCATTGCTCATTTAAGAAAACCTTCTTATCTCCCCTTGCCATTCTGTGGAATTCTGCTTTCAGCTGGGTACATCTTTCCCTTTCCTTAGCTATCTGTAAAGTCTCATCAGACCATTTTGCTTTCTTGTTCTTTTTGTTGCTGCCTCCTGTACAATATTGTGAACCTCTGACTGAAGTTCTTCAGGCACTCTAACTACCAGATCTGACCCCTTAATCTACTCCTCACCACCACTTCATCCTCCTAAGGGATGTTATATAGGTCATATCAAAACAGCCTGATGGTTTTCTCTACTTTCTTCAATTTCAGTCTGAATTCTGCAATAAGAAACTCATGATCTGAGCCATAGTCTGCTCCAGGTCTTGTTTCAACTGACTGTATAAAGCTTCTCAACCTTTGGCTGCAAAGTGTATAATCAATCTGATTTCAATATTGACCATCTGATGAGGTCAACATGTAGAGTCCCTTTTCGGATTGTTGAAAAAGAGTGTTGGGGGCGTGCAGTAGGTGGTGCAGTAGATGTAGCACTGGCCCTGCAGTCAGGAGGATCTGAGTTCGAATCCAGCCTCAGACACTTGACACTTACTAGCTGGGCAAGTCATTTAATCCCAATTGCCTCACCCAAAAAAAAGAGAGAGAGAGAGAGAAAAAGTGTTTATTTTGTACTCCAAGGTCAAATTGGCCTGTTATTGAATTATCTTTTAATTTCCTATCCCCTTTAGCATTCCAATCCCCTGAACTGAAATCTTACTAGCATGACCCCATTAGGGCATCTGCTTGATTTAGCACCACACAGCATCAGAAATGATTTCTTTCAAGAAGTTTATTACAAACCAGAAACCTGGTTTTCAGAAGGATCAGTTTAATTCAAAAACCATTTACTGAGCTAGGTGCTGGGCTACGTTAGGCACTACACATTCAAAGACAAAAAGAAAACAGGTCCTGACCTCAAGGAGCTTACACTCCACTAGAGCAAGGCCAATATACTGGAAGTATACGAACATATACAAAGTTACTTGAGTCCTGAGAGAGCACCAATAACTGGGGAAATCAGGAAAAGTTTCCCGTGGAAGGTAGCCCCTGAGCTGTGCTCTGGAAGAAGATGGGGAGTCTATGAGTTGGAGGCACACAGGGTCTTGGCCAGGAAATGGAAAGGTCTTGAACAGGGGACAACTAGCTGACTGACAGAATGCATGAAGGGAAGTAATGTGAGATCAGTCTAGGAAGAAACGAGAGAAGCAGACTGTGGAGGACTTTAAAAGACAAGCAGGAGTTTGACTTTTATCTTAGAGGCCAAAAGAGAGTTGGCATTTCTTGTGAAGGGGTTAGAGGGCTGCCTTAGGTCACTCAACTAACATTTATTAAGCACCTACTACTACTTTGTGCTAGAGCTAGACCCTGTGTGAAGTACTGGGGTTAGATACAATTTAAGGCAAAAGAGAAACTCTGCTTTCAAGGAGGCTCACAGTCTAACAGCAGGGACACCACACAAACAACTATAGACTAGCAAGACGCATACAGGATAAGCTGGAGGTTACTTCAGAGGAGAAGGTACCGAGATCAAGGAAGACGAGGAAAGTCTTCTTGAAGAAGGTAGGACTTTAGCTAAGACTTGAGGGAAACCAGCGAAGGTAGGAGGTGTAGATAAAAGGGACCAAAGTCCCAGGAAACAGGAATTGATGACCAAACAGCATGGAGTCTGGAGAGGAAGCATCTTGCTCTAGCAACAGCAAGGAAGCCAGTGAGATTAGATTTCAGAATACATGGAGGGGAATAAGGTGTTAGAGGGCTGGAAAGGAAGGCATCAGGTGCTGAAGGTTCTATGAATACCGAACAGAGAATTTTATATTTCATCTTGAAGGTAATGGAAAACCACTGGAGTTTACTGAATGGGGGGCGAGGGCAGGGAATGACGGTCAGATAATCTTTTGGGGAAGATCAATATGACCCCTGTGTGAAGGATGGATTGGAGTGGGGAAGAGAACTAAGGCAGGAAGACCAACCCATAAGCTACAGTCCAGGGGGAAGGTGATGAGGACCTGCACAAGGATAGTTGTATCAGGAGAGAGGGACATATATCAGAGATACTACAAACATAGGAAGAATAGGATTTGACCAATGATTGGAGAAGGGGGATGTGAGAAAGTAAAGAATCCAGAATGACGCAGATGTCATCCTGCAGCTGTCTGTGTACAGGATGACATGAAGAGATTCAAAACAAAGAGACCAAGGAGGATATTATTATAATAGCTCAGGAAAGATGGGATGATGGCAGCTGCGTAACTACAGAGAACAGAATGAATACAAAAGAATTTGCAGTGGTAGAATCAAAAAGATTTGAGAAATGACTGGGAGAGTGGAAAGAAGAAGGATCAAGGAGACTTCTAAAAGTTAGAACCTGAGTAATTTGAAAGAAAGTGGTACCCTAAACAGAAAAGGCTACATTAGGAAAAAGAAGTGGATCTGAGAAAGTGGACTGTGATTTTTCTGGATATCCTGATTTTTTTGTTCTG